AGTCTGCCCACCCACCCACCCACCCACCCTTATACCAGATGCAAGTAAAACTGAAGGCAGACAAGTAAAATTTTGTAAAATATTGTACATCAGTTACTGGCCACTTATAATTCTGCTATGGGTCACCTAGTAGCATCTGAAGGGCTAGTGGGCTAAAGAAATTGATAATTGCCACAAACTACTCTCCTCCTCCCCCCAACCCCCCCTATTCCCTCATTAGCACCTGCGCCACGCTTGTCTCATAGTGAAATTTGTTCCAGTAGGGCCATTCAGGTAGTATTATCACTTACAATTACCCAATGTCTGGTAAGCCACAGCAGAATTATTCCACAACTGTAACACTAAGATGATAATCACATTACACAACCAATTATACAGTTTAGGGCCATCGACAAGGGAGTGAAGGAGAAGGAAAAATTGAATTTTATTTCTCTCGGAGTGTTATATGGGAAAAAAATGACAGACATGATGTCATGATAAGATACTGCTCTATGCCACATTTTTTAGATTGGAAAAATTTGTTTTGTACTAGGTTGTGTTCTCATGGATTCTAACTTATGCCAGACCATAGGCAAAGTATTTTCTCTCTCTCTCTCATACACACACACACACACACACACACACACACACACACCGTGATTCACACCTGCACTCTCTCTTTCTCTCTCGTTTCAGACCCAAATACACTGAATCTTGTCTCACATCAATCCAGATATCTCATGATGTCAATTAGTCTGTTTCAGTTTCAATTTAGACCCTTTCTGAACACACATGAATGAGAAGATCATAAGATTGTACACACAAAGACCATTAGCGAGAAAGATCAGTGTATGGGAAAATATTGATCAAATACTATTTACGTTCTCTTCAAAGTGTCCCCTATGGTAGGGAAGGAAACTAAGGACTGGGCTAGAAAATGGATTGGGTGTCCTGGGAAATGATGCTGTTCCTGAGAGAAAGTCTTTAGCTGTGGATATTGAAGTGATTGCATGATCCCATTTGTGATCTGTAATTTAAATGGATCATTTGAAGACTTCGGCTTAACATGGATGGATGGAGAAAAAAGAAAGGAAAAAAAGTTTCACATGCTAGTAATGTTTATTCGAATTTCCATCAAAGGGCTTTGATCACATGACTGACTTCCTGTTTCGTCTCTTTAGAAACAATTCACTTTTTTTTACCAAAGATCGTTGGGTTTATCATGTCATATTTCTATTATTTAAATTTTCTTGGAATTTTTCTTGGAATTTCAGAATGAATAAAGATACTCAGATGGCTCTGCTAAATTGGACAAAATACATTAAAAGGCAGCTATGGCTGTATTCCCAGAGCTTTTAGATCGATCTATCCCGGCGGGGAGTCTCACTAGATTACTGTCAGATAATCCGTCTTAAATGTCCGTCCCACCTACTACAAGCTGTAAGGGGGTAATTAACTTTCGTGTCCGCCCGGCTGACAGCTATTTAGCATGAACCCCAAGGGAGTTAGGTCAATCTAAAGTAGATCGATCTAATCTCTGGAAATGGGGTCTATGTTTCCTGTCAGTATGTTCTAATGCCAATTTTTCAAAATTTTTCTTGTTTGATTATAACATAGCACGCACCATCTGTTCAGACACTCAGAAAGTGTGTTACGGTAACTGTTCTATTCATTGGAACAAAATTGGTTTATTGATTTATGTTTTCCAAAGGAGTGCTTTATTCATTAAATCTAAAAAAAATGTGACTTAATTTCTATTCTTTAAAGCTACTTGGCTTCATGTACCAGAAAAGATGTTACTTTGAGTTTTGCCAATAGTGACGATTTTTGAAAAAAATTTGAAAGATATTAGGTGTTTGAAAATTTTGGGTAACTCCTGTATTCATTTTATGTTCTTATCTTGATAAAAGGTTGAATGAAAGAAGCATTGAGAGAAGTACCAATTAATTTTGTTCATATCGTGTGGTTTTCCAATCTATCATGAGTTGTGTTCCTTTTATTATTATGAACGTCAATTAGCACCAGCTGTCTCACTTGTTCATATATTTCTTTTTTTTTCCAGAGTGTCTGTTATATTTATCATAGAACATCATAAACCCTGGTTATTTGATAGACTTGGTGTTAGCAGAAACTCAAGAATAACCTGTGTGTGTTTTTATTGATTATCTAAAAAAAAAAAAGAACTTGAAAGATGATGCTTCTTTGTTTTCGGATTACTGTATTTCCGCTTGTAGATAGGACTCGGATAATTTTAAGTACATACCTTGGGCAGCATTTCTTTTTATGATTGACAGTATGAAGCAGAATATTGTATGTGAGTTATAGCATATGATGTCAGTGTCATCAGATTGCTTTATTTTCGTTTTAAGAAATGTTTTTTTTAGAGGACGATCTGTGAGCAGCTCACCTAGAAAACCAGGTGCTTTGATGACTAATAATCTGGAAAATAGCAGATACCATCTTTGTATTTCATTTCACATTGTTTCTTTGTTTTCTGAAGACTGATTTGTCTGAGGACAATAACTGAAATCTGATGATGTGTGGTACACCAAGAGCAGCAGAATCTGATATTTTACATAGTTACCAGGAAAAAATAACAACGTATATTCATGTTTGATCTTTTTAGATACTGTGATCTTTATATTTAAGGTAACTATTCTATCAGGCCTACCCAACTACCAGACTCGGTTCATCTAGGTGGCTTTCAAATTTATGCACCCGGTTTTAAAATCATATAGCGATTTTACGACAATCGTTTACTATCCAATCAAGGTGACAGCCGAGCATGCCAGGGCTCATCCTGTCGGTGTTCTGGCTGATACTCCGAAATGCGATCTGACACACACCTTGAAAACGGGTAGCGTGGTCCCATATACCGGTTAATTCAGGATCCTTAGGTGCCGAGTCTGGTAGTTGGGTAGGCCTGTCTATGCTCACCTTATGAATTGAAATGTCTTAGTTAGGACAAGCTGTGCATCTTAAATAGCAGGTGATTTGAATTATCACCACCTGAAAAACAGTGTTTATGAATTTTGTAGATACTGAGGTTACATTTTCAGATTATAATATTCATTCATCCATTCGTTTATTCTTATATAAGGTAAGAGTAAACAGGCAAAAACGTATATAAACATATAGAAACCGTTAATCTTTATTCCCAGGTTTCAATACTTTGAGATCTGTAGACTAGTTCATGTGGACAGAATCATTCTAAGGACAAAGTATAAGCTGTGCAGGATACAGAAGGCAGGTGTTTGAATTAATTACCTGGCCAAAGGTCAAGAAAAACACACCTTTAAGGTAAGGTTAAAGAAAGTCAAATACAGAATTTATTAATTATTTCAAATGTGCAATTTAAAATCAAATGTCAAAATATGTACATATCTTTATACAGACAATTCAAGTTTTGATACATCAAATGTGAACTGAAATAAATGAATCTTCTTTTTATTAGCAATTTTTCCAGTTTTTTAAAAATCTCTATGCATTTTGGAAGTGCTTGTAATTAAAGACATATTAGAATTGCAATAAGTTTCTTGATTTTCTAACTATATTTTTATTGTATTCTGTCTAAATGAAGATTTAAAGGACATATATTCATTCAGTAATATTCATTTTTTCAGGTTGTAAACCAGGTCAATTGTAATATGGATATACTACTGGATAAATGAACAAATTTGCCAATTATAAACCTCAACAAATAACAGAAACAAGTGAAACGCGGCCATACGAACTGTTGCTAGGATAAAAACAGTAATGAATCCTGGGACAGGTTTGATCGATGACCTTGCCAGCCTCAATGAATTGGATGAGAGAATCCTATTGGCTGAGCTGAGGATACGCTACAGCAGAGGCGTTATATATGTTAGTATTGGGAACTGAAATCATTCTTCTCAAACAAATGGTATAGATTTATTTATTTTAAAAATTTTATAGCTTTGCTGCTTTTTTTCACAGCAATAGCAGACTTTGTAGGATTCATATATAAATGAAATTTATATAATTTTTTCTTAGTTATGTCTATTTCCCCTCTTAGAACATAGGCCACCTACAAAATCCCTCCATATATATATCCCTATTTTGGGGTCTCATCTCTCTAGTGGGTTTTAATATGAAAAATGCGGTTTTCTCTCTTGTTGGGAGCTAGCAGGTGTGGGGTTGGTGGTGAAAGGGGCTGAATATGTCATTTTTTAAGGAGGGGGCATGCAAGCCCCCAAAGACATCTTTTTGTGTTTTAAAACTGATTTCATTCCGATATTTCAGACCTATGTTGGAGACATCCTGATTGCGGTGAATCCTTACAAGGCGCTTCCAATCTACACCCCACAGGTAAGACATAATGAATATATCTAAAAGGTTTCATACACCATTAGTATGAAGAATTTTAAGATTTCAGGTATTACAAGTATTTTAAAATTACAGTATCCTTTATTAAAACTAAATGAGCCATTTCAAAGAATGAGGACTACATATTAAGTAGAAGATAAACATATATGAATTGTATTTCTGTTTTAGTCATATGGCAAAGAATACTAAAGAGCTCTTTATATTTTTATAAGCTTATAAAAGTACTTTGACATCAATATTTTCAGATAAATTCTAGTAATAAATAAAAATTTATGAATATTATATCTTCATTTTTTTACAACAACAATGCCTATCCTAATAGATGATCACATTTTTTTCAGATCTCAGAAAAATACTGTGACATAAAGGTACGGTCTCAGCATCCACCACATATCTACGCCATTGCTGACAAGGCATTCCAGCAGATGATACGCTCAGGAAATGACCAGTGTTGTGTGGTCAGTGGAGAGTCTGGTGCAGGTAGTTAAGATTTTCACATATAGATGGCGCATGTAGGCTGAGTGCCCACAGATAGATGGCAGCACAATGTGCTTGATGTTAAATTTTTTTGTGGTCAGTTATTACATTTGAGGAATTGTGAAGATTTATTTTGTTTGAAAATTTGAAAATGCTGTGTCTTTACCACTACACCTATCTCTCTAGCCTCCTCCTCCTCCTTCTCCTTTTTTGCAAGTAGAAAAGATGATTTTCTGGCGTTATTTTTCAGGTAAGACAGAGAGCACCAAACTTATGGTAAAACACATCATACAGCTTTGTAAGAACTGTGGCAGTAATCTCCATGAGCGAATAGTAGAGGTAAGGACAGGCATCTGGCATTGCTAGTAGTCTGCTATGTCTGACAGCTTTCACATCCAATTTAAATGATGTGTAATTAGATAAGGAAACTTTTGTCATTGTATTTTATGTAAACATAGTAGAGGTAAGCAAAGGCATCTGGAATTGCTAGTAGTCTGTTATTTCTGACATCCATCACATCCAATTTAAATGATTTGTTATTAGTTAAGAAAACTTGTCATTGTATGCTAGTGTAAGAAAAAGTAATCAAGAAGTACGAATAGACAGAACGTGGGTATTTGCTTTTAGTAGAGGGGAAGAGGGGAAACAGAATAGAATAATGCTCGGGTTGCCTACTTTCTAAAGTTGTTTTGGAAAAAAGGCCAGGGGAATAGGAGGTTGTGGAGGGATGGGGGCAGTAAAAATGGAGTGCCTGACTTAAATTTGCTGATTTTAAGGACTTCTACATTAAGGCAAAGATTTGAACGTGCAAGAAAGGTTTAATTCATAACTTTTAATAATAGGACATATCTTTGATATAAATCCCTTGTTTTACATCACACTTAATATAAATTATGTTTTTCAGTACATTAAATTATGATTAAATCACGATGTATGATATTATGACATTTCAGGTTAACCCACTGTTGGAAGCATTTGGCAATGCCAGAACTACAGTAAACAACAATTCCAGCCGGTTTGGAAAGTTTATAGAGTTGTTCTTCACCCGAGATGGAAGGGTGGTCGGAGGTAAGTAGTACACGTGTCTCTTGGTAGGAATTCGTACTTGTTGACCTGAGATAATTCCATGGAGACCAGGAAATTTGATTTTTTCTTTCTTTCTTTCTTTCTTTCTTTCTTTTGTATGCCAGATGTTTGATATTTAGACACCAACATTTCTATTTGTATGAAACTTTTCACTGCTCCTTTGTTTAATTTCACAAAATATGATATAATGTGTGTTACTTTAAAGATATAAATAGATGCAACAAATTTTTTAATTTTTTTGTGAAAAAGCAGCATTCTTTTTTTCTGTCAAACAAATATTACTAAATGACATTTTAGATATTCTGAATGATATATTTTCTTCTTTTTAATAATTTCAGCTCAAATTGATGACTATCTCCTGGAGAAGTCCAGAGTGGTTAGCCAGGGAGTTGGAGAGAAGAACTTCCATATCTTCTATTACATGTTTGCTGGGCTTGACAGAGAAGAATTGAAGAACTATCTCCTGGATAAACCTGAAAAACACAGGTGAATTAAATTTTCCATTGAAATCGGATTGTTTGAAGCTGTTTCCTTAATTCCTTCAGTCGAGGGAATCTAGCAATTATATTCACATGGTGCTGACTACAGGTACTTTTCATATCAGAAGTATTAACTCTTAAACACAAAACGTTTTTCATAAGTAACTTTGGTTCCACTCTCAGCAACAAAGTTCAGTTATGCTGCTTTACAAAAAGTGTTTTTCCTCTAAAATGTTTTTCATTTTGTTTTTGATCTTAAATGCCACCGCTCCTATGAACATAAAAGAAGCCGTACATAGTCCACAATTTTTCTGAACAACAAATACATCTTACCCTTATGAATTTCAGAATATTAATCAACTACAAATACCAGTTGCCTATATATTCAGAACATCGTTCCAACATATATATACTACACACATCCATGCATATTTAGAAGATTGTTCAACCACATTTACCATTACTCATACATATTTCAGAATATTGTCTCCTGTTGATGGCAGTGCCCTCTACTGGAGTGATGCACACTACAAATACTGTGTGGATATGCTGGAACACCTTAAACTTATCATGCAACTTGTGGGCTTCCAATCTGAGGTAGGTTGTACATAGATTGTGCTTTTGTCACAACTAACACAATTGGCTTCAAGAAGAAGATTTGTATTGCTATTTGTTGCATTATTTAGAAAGGCCCTGAACAGAAAAAGCTTAGATAAACCCATTTGAAGCCCATGTGCAAGAAATAGTCTCTTATCAGTTACATTTAACATGTCCACAATTTTGCTAAATCTGCAGAGAGGGGCACAAGGATAAAAAAATAAGTTGCCATCAAAGCAAGACTTCTTAGTTGTTGGTGTTTTTGAAGGGGTGGTAGGCTAAAAAGTGAAAGCTTTAAGCCATGTAGCTGTTTAGGGTTTCTGAATGTCCTTTAGATTAGTTTGTCACATATATATGTGGTATTGTGCAACTAATTATGCTGTGTGCTTGTAATGTAAGTGATTGTGTTATTGTTGTTGCACCTAACATATTGTGAATTTAATATTGTGCTGTAAGCTTGTTCTAACATGATGTTCTTTGGGCAAAGTTCACCTCAATATTTGAGTGACATTTTAAAAATATTACTCATCCTTCCTTTCTAATATAATGTAAATCTTAATGTTTGGGTAACGTTGAAATTTACTGCAATTTATGATACTTTCCTCATATGCAACCCAAAGGAATATTATACTTCCTCAGTAAGTAAAGTTCTTGGTGATATGATAATAAAGCTAAGCAGAAGCAGATTTTAGGTCTAAACGATATTCTTTTGATTTGTTCAAAATATATATATAATTGTGTAACATACAGCTGAGTTTCCGTTTTAAGAGATTTCAAATATAGAAAAAAAAACTAGTGAAATAAAATTGTCAGTAGATTCTGCTAATTGTTTAATTATCTTGTCTATATTGAATTAAGAACACTGTCTTGGACAAGTATCGTTACATTGATTGGGACAGTGCCAAAGCATCCAATGTCAAGGTTAGATAATCACATGACATCTTGTGTCAAGGTCACATTGTCACATGACTTTCAGTGTCAAGGTCACACTATTTTAAGTATCACAATTTTATTGTCACCTGATGTACATTAATTCCCTCAGATCAGTTGATTGATAAGTTGTTTGTTTCCAGGTCAAACCTAGCCAAACCAAAAAGGTTAACACTTCAATTATATTTCATCCATTCACCTTTTTATTTACTGAATATAGCATATATTGTGTTCATTTAAATGTGCAAGAACCACCTGCAATGTTGTTTTATAATAAGGCTAACACATTTCTTAGATTTGACATTTTCAAGTTAATTATGCACCCAACTTTACATCTTTCAGTTTCTTAATAAAGAATGGAACATAATATTTCTTTAATTCATTGTTGATATTTTAGCATGAATTTGGTTAGACTTTACTAATTGTTGTTGCACATGGTTTGCATCCTTTGCATGAAATAATGATTATTACAAAACAAGGCAATAGTTATGATATCCTTTTCAATCAAAACATCTCTATATGCAAAAAAAATCTACAGCAATAACATCACTTAAATTTCTAAATAATTTTTTGAACTGAATGTTATTTATTATAGTGTAATCTTTGGCATCATAATTTTCAGCATTATCAACAGACATTTTAATGCATCAAGTTTTCATATATTTATGTATAAACAAATCTTGTTAAATCACATTTTTGTAGCATTTAAGTAAAGCAACTTAACAAAATAAAAACTGTAATTTTATAAGTTTGAAAATTTAATTCTCAGAAGTGGATAAGTAGAAAATTTTGGCCTTTGATATATATATTTACCAATATATCACACACTAAAAATATATTGACAACGTTTTTGTCTATTTTGAAAGAATGACCAGAGCAACGTACATGGTAATTTGAAAAGAAAATGATAAACATGTTCATGTTTTTACTAATTCTTAGTTTTAAAAATCCCACTTTTTATTACAGGACATAGACATGGTGTTTGCTCTACTTGCTGCAGTCCTTCACTTGGGAGATATACAATTTGCCCAAGACCCAGATACTGATGGTGTATACATTGTAGATGAAGTTATACTGGACATAGGTAAGGGGAGATCACCTGTAGCAATGTGTTGTCACAGCTAACGCAATCAGTCATACCCAACACAATCAACAGTCACACCCAACACAATTGGCAGTCACATCTAGCACAATCAGCAGTCATACCCAACACAATCAACAGTCACACCCAACACAATCAACAGTCACACCAGACACAGTCAACAAAAATCACCTTATAAATCAGACACAGTAAGAACTTGCATCAAATATCTTAAATAATGCAATCAAATCATATAGTAATACCAAACACAATCGGTAGATGAATAAAACACATCAGTTGTTACCTAGGAAAATTGCATGGCAAAGTTAGCATTTTGAAGCTAACATGTTTAGCAGTTGCATATAATAGTGCAATAGCGCTTGCCCCATTCAGTAAGTTATTGTTAAAAAGACTGTTTTTTAATGCTGCACACACACACACACACACACACACACACACACACACACACACACACACACACACACACAACATTTGTTTAGTCTTGATTATGACCTGTTTGTCATTTTGCCTTCTTATTTTCATGTGTAATTATAATCAAATTAATTTTGTGTTTTAGATGCTTTACAAGCTTGTGCTTTTAATTTGCTTATGTATAAGTTATTTTGTCATTCATTTGGTCCTTTTTAGTTGAGAAATATTTTAATAATCGATAAAAATGTCTGTCTTCTTCTTTTCTATGACCTGACATTGACCTTTATTTTTGACCTTGTGGATTGACCTTGACCCTTATTTAAATACCTTGTGGACTGACTTTCAAAATATCTATGGAAATATGTTTTATAAGCAGGAGGTAGGATTTTGTTGGTGTGGGGGTATTTTTGATGGGTATGTCCTTGGTAAAAGGTATATTGGAATATGGATTTTGGGCTCGTTTTTCCCCTGTCAAATTTTCTGCATCCATCCATGTTGGGGAGGCTCATATGATTGGTATGACTGGTGCATTGTAGATTTAAAAATATTAATTATACATATATAATGTGTTTTCAAATGCAGTTCAGCGTATTATTGTGTTTGCTGGGTGTATGATTTGCCTATATTCTATTCCTGTCTTTGTTTTGGTACTTGGATATTTTCTGGTTGATATATTTTTATCATCGTGTTCACATTGAGACTAATTTAGACCCTTTAAACAAATTGCTAAAGATCACCAACAAATAATCAAATAGAATCCCACACCTTTAGAAAAAAATTTAAAAAAGTAGCTTTTAACAACCTGCGTTTTTAGGCGATTTCAGACAGTTCTATTCTAAGTTATTCCCATTGTGAACACGTACATCATGTTGTCCTTGGTATACTGCAATATTACCTGTTTCTGTGTAAGGTCTATGTGTACCTGCATAATGGAGTGTTATTTTGTCCTCTTCTGTTTGACACCTAAGGGCATGAGGAACTTCAATTTTCAAGAAATATTACAGTTCATTGAATGGTCATGACTGTCATGTGTTTCCATATCTCTAAACCTTGTTTTATATTTGACACATTTGTAGGCAGGAAAAATTGGTGGGGACATTTTCTTGCATGCTTTTTGGGATTTGCAGTTGCGTACTCTTTTTTGAGATTTGAATTAATCTGTGTCTTATTCTACCTAAAGCTAGCTGTTGCTATTACAGCTAACATGTAAATTTTGTTCTTGGTAAAATTATTCATAGAATATTATATTTTCTGTGGTAGTTGATTGTTTATGTCATTATACATGTGTGTGTAACTAATTGCACTTGGATTTTCAACTTATGTTGATATAAAGTAAACATTTTTTATTCAGTAAATAAAGTGATTTTATAATTACCATTCATTTCCCTCCAATTACTCATTGCTAACAATTTTTTATCTGTAAGATTTTTCTATGAATCCTGATACCTGTATCAAAAATGACTAAAGAGTTAAAAAAAGTCTTAGGAAAGAATATTAGCAAGCTAAGTTGCATTTAAAATTTAAGAATTATCTAAAAAAATTGCTCTCCTAATTTTTTTTGTCAACAGCAATTTGTGATATTTTTTTAATTGACAGATAAGTTTTTTGTCAGAAAATATAAAATAATATTTTATGTTTTAGTTGCTCAAGTTGAAAACCCTCCCTAGCAAATATCGGGATTTTAACCAACTAAATAATCTTATTAATGATGATTGTTCACCTCATTTTTTTCAGTGATTTGATTAAGCTCCCCCCCCCCCCCTTCTCAGCCACCCACACCCAGAACAAATCACAAATTATTGCCTGGACTTATTTGGGGAAATATTAAAATATAATTGTTTAAATATATTGTTTTAGTGGCTCAACTTCTTGGCGTGAACCCAGAAGAACTGGCATCAGTGCTGATCTCCAAGGTGTCCTGGCTCAGGGGTAAGTGATGGCATCCTGTCTAATATGTGGGCTCAGAAATAATGGCAGGCTTGTAAGTGTGATGGGGCATTGTATAACAGCTGAGTAGAATTTATCCATTGATATTTTTCTGGTTGTTTTAAGTTCTGTAGAATTTAAGTTCTGTAAATAAATTAACAATGTTTATTTTATATATTAATATTATAAAACTGCTCAAATTCACTGTGTTTTGCATGTCACTATTGCATTGCTTTTTAAGCTTTTATAAGCCCAATGTGTAGAGTATCCACCTTTTCTAGTCTTCTTTGATGTTATACAATGCCAACACCCTTGTTTTAGGCTAACACTGTGATAATTTTTATCAGGATGTAGATTTGTTTTGCAAATAGAAAAAAATGAATTTTCATGTGTAAAATTTGCGTTTCAGATTATTTGCAAGTATCTTAAGATTGATATCTTTAACTAAAGAGTTTTCTGATGCGTTCTTGTGACCAGTGAGAGCTGAAAATATTTAAATGCAGACTATTATTTCACTTCAGGAGAGAAAATAGTTAGTCTCAAAAATCTAGAACAAGCAAGTGATGGCCGTGACGCCCTTGCCAAGGCTCTGTATGCCCGCCTCTTTGGTTGGATTGTACGCCAAATTAATGTCCTTCTGAAACCAGGTCCTGATTACAAGTGAGTATGGATGTTCTGCATACCTAAGTGATATTTTCATATTATTATTATTATTATTATTATTATTATTATTATTATTATTATTATTATTATTATTATTGTCATCATCACAGCAACAGAAATCATAATATATAAATATAAGAGTATAATTCTTAAAGTTATTACCTCTGCCAAGGAGGTTATGTTTTCACCCCTGTCTGTCTGTTTGTTTGTTTGTTTGTTATCAACATAACTCTAAAAGTTATGGACCGATTTTGATGAAATTTTCAGGGTAGATAGGAAATGGGTTAACTTAGAAGTGATTAGTTTTCAGTAGTGATCTGGATCAATAATCAATCAATAATAAACAATCGCTGCCTTGGCAGAGGTCTGCGCTCTTGAAGTGCTTTTCTAGTTAAATATATATTTATTAATTATATGTAATATATAAAAAAGCTAAGTATGTTATATAAATCCTTAAGATTAATCATATCTAACCATGCAAATGGCTAAAAATTGATCTTTTCATCTTTCAGGTCCAGCCCAGGTCCCAAAATTGGAATTCTCGACATTGCAGGGTTTGAGAACTTTGAGTCAAACAGTTTTGAGCAACTGTGTATAAATGTAGCAAACGAACAGTTGCAGTATTACTTCAACCAGCACATCTTCGCCTGGGAGTTAGAAGAGTACGATAAGGAGGGGCTAAAAGAGATTAACATAGAGTTTACCAATAATTGGCCTTTGCTGGAGCTTTTTCTAGAGGTGAATATATTAATTAATTAATTTGTTTGTTTATTTGTATATTTTAAGTGATTTATTTAAAACACAAATGTTTTATCAAAAACATTATATGTGTATAAAAAGCGAGAGAACTTAATATGTAATAGAAGTAAACTTAACTGTATATTTATTAAATTATTAAGGTTCAACATTTCAAACATTTAGATTTTAAAATGTATGACCCTGTATGCATTGATTTGAATTTATATGTATTTTCTACCAACCAGAAGCCTGTGGGTATTTTCTCCTTGCTGGATGAGGAGACAAAGTTCCCGCGTGCCACAGACTCCAGTTTTGTTGACAAAATCGTACAACATCACACGAAAAATCCTCACTTGGTGCGGTCACTTAGCAACAGGGTCCCTGCGTTTGGGGTGATACATTATGCTGGCCAGGTGAGTGTTTAGATAATAAAAAATATAATATAATAATAATAATGATAATGATGATAATATCAACAACAGCAGTAATAATCTTAAGTAAATAATTTAAGAATAATTATTTTTATTATTAATTATTATTGTAATAACTTAACTTAAAAGTTGTTAATTAATCATGTAATTAATTCATATTTTTGAGATCTAATATTTAAATCTATAAAATATTCAGTAATCTTTTACATAAAGATATCTAAAGATGAAAATGTTAGATGGTTATAAAAATTTTGATAAGAAATTCTATAAGCAAATGACTATGATTTTTATGTTTCAGGTCATCTATAATGCGGAGGGCTTCCTGGAGAAGAATCGTGATACTCTTAGTCCCAATATCCTAGAATGCATGAAGAACAGTGACTCCCAGATTATCTGTGATCTTTTTACTGCCCAAGTGGCTGATACAGGAACACTGCTGATAAAGTGAGTACGCAGGCATGCACGCACGCACATATGCAGGCATGCATGTATGCTCATGTATATGAACATGTGTACATATAAATGCATGTATGCACACTTGAATGTGCACAGGAATGCTGTGTGCACATGCATACACTTATGTGCACGTGCACACACACACACACACACACACACACACACACGCACATTTATACACATATATCCACAGGCATGCAAGCGCGCACACATGTATGCACATGAGCACCAATCCCATCAATTTATTTTGAATATTCTTGAATAAGAGAAATTTTCTACATCATGATTTTTTTTCTGTGCTTGGTTTGCAAATGAGTTATATATCTGCAGTTCTCTAACGCTTTTATCAGCTGAATTTTTTTGAGCTGCCTCTTTCACTTTTTGGAAAAATTAATTGTTTTTGATTCTTGCTGAAGAAATGTCAAGAAATAGACAATGACATTTCATCCATTAGGTTGAATTTTCTTCATCTCATTCTCACTTTGATGTTTTTAACTCTATCTAAAAGCTCTAAAACCCCAATCCGAAGTAGAAAGTCCATTTTACGTTGTCGGGCACCAGATGTCAGCAGACGTACCAAGAGTCTTTCAAGACAAGCTGGCAAGGCGTTGAAGGAGCGGTAAGATTACAGTCTTGTTTTTGGTGTAGTTGCAGTTTTATTTTTCTTTCTTTTTTCTCTATTATATATCTTATGTGTTTACAAAACATGACTGAGTAACATAAAACAATGAACAATAAATTGGTACCAAAGATATGCTGGACGTTTGTTAAATTTTTTAAAATGACTTTAGGTATTTGATGGACTGACTAAGATTTGCAATAACTGTTGTAATTTAATTTATAGTCAGTACATTCAAAATTGTTTAAAGTGATGAAAATTAAAAGTAGAAAATTTACCAAATTTTAAAAACTAAAAATGAACTATGCATTGAAATGCAGTAATTTCTAACTTCCCCAATCGATGGTTCTGTATCATGCTTGAATGAAGATAACTTTGAATAACTGTCTTTTTTATTTCAGATACCAAGCAAGACGAACTGTTGAGCAAGAGTCCCTTAATCAGAAGACTGCTGGAGCAAAATTTCAGGTACGGGTTGGTGAAATATTTAGAAAAAATTGTGAAGTATAGATATCAAAAGATGAAAGTGAATTATTAAGAAAAGAATCTCACAAGTTCAGTAAATAATATAATAGTTTAAAAACTGACCCTTCAAGGGCAAAAGGTTCAATTGAAATTCCAAATTTGTTTTTAATCTTGAAATTAGAACTTAAAACTCCTTTTTTAGACTTCATTGACAGATCTCATGAGCAAGCTACTGGAAGCAGAACCACAATTTGTAAGGTAGGATTGATATCTAATTTGTGATCTTACAAGATATTTTGTTAATCTCATGTTGAAAAATGATTGAGATTTTAAAGATAAATCTCTCTCATTATAGTTGCTTTAAATGCAAGAATTGCAATCAAGACAATAACTTTTTTAAGCTGATATATGAAAAGAAATCTTAGATGCTTTAAACTGATAGAAAAATTAATAGTAATAAAAATTTTGAAAAAAAGAAATAATGCATTAAACACATTTTTAAAAATACAAATAAGCTGTTAATGATGGACCTTATCTACACTGTACGTAAAATATATGCAAGTCGGCATTGTCCCTTAACTAACGAATTTGCACACAATTCTTTTGTCCTCTAAAAGGGCATACGTAAGACAACTTAAACATTTTTGTTGTAAGCGTATCTGTAATGTCACTGTCTCTGCACAAGACTGTAGCTCATAATGAAAAAAACTCTTCTTACAGATGTATTAAGCCCAATAACTACAAACAAGCTGATAACTTTGAGCCTCGCATGGTTCTGGAACAACTCCGCTACACTGGCGTCCTGGAAACCACCAGGATCAGGCACATTGGGTTTCCCACGAGATTGCCTTTTCATACCTTCTTAGACAGGTGAGTGTGACTCCCCACTGCTGCCATCACAGTTTGTTTACTTAAGGGTGAGGTTTTGTAATGAACTTGTATAAATTTTCAAGTACCTTTTTGTGCATGTCTTTATGATACCAGTGTGAAATATTTTATTCAGAATTAAAGACACACAAAGTGTGTAACTCTTTAATTAGCAAAATATAATACTTTCCTGGATATTTGAACACCTTTTCTCTTAATTTGTAAAATTAGAAAATTTTGAAATCAAAACTGGGTCATCTTATAACTAGTAATTTTGTTGATGGATTTGGAACAAAGGGAATACTTTAGATATAAAGGGAAATTTGCTGCAAGGAATGTTGTATAATATTTTATTTCTTTACTATTATTATTATTTGCTATAGAAGCGAACACTCATTATAGTTCTCAAGTTTATTTTTAACAAATTAACTCCAGGTATAAGATGATTGCCTTTCCACTGACTGCCAAGGTGGATCCCATACCATTGCATTGTTATCAGGTGCTGCAGGCAGCCAACATACATGGATGGGAGATAGGGATGCACAAGGTGATCTCTCTCTCTCTCTCTCTCTCTCTCTCTCTCTCTCTCTCTCTCTCTCTCTCTCTCTCTCTCTCGCAAATGTATGCATGAACGGGCAATATTAGTAGTAAGAAAATACCATAGTAGAATAGCACATGAGTTTAGATTTATAATTATCAATCCAGGTTTTAATTTTGTAAGATAAATGAACTAGACAAAAAAGTTTATATACTTTTTGTGTATTTACATTTTTTTTTCTTTTTAGCAATTTATACGTTTTAACAGTTATTGTATATCAGTTAGAATTGTTTTATGATTTCATATATTTATTATTATTATTATTATTATTATTATGCCAGGTATTCTTGAAATACTGGCACACAGAACAGCTGAATCTCCACATGGACATCATACAGGCCAAAGTTCTTCGCGTGCAGAGTTATGTCCGCGGGTTTCTCACCAGAAAGAAGTTCCGCGCCAAGAAAGAAAAGCTCGTGAAAGAGAGGTCCCTCCTCAGTGCCTTTGTGGCTATTCTCACCCAGCAGGCGGAGAGGACGTATCATCTTGTACAGCTTCAACAAGAACACGACAAGATAAGACAGGAAAGAAAGGTACTAATTTTTTATCTTTTATTTATTTATTTATTGATCCATTCATTCCTTCATTTATTCATTCATTCATTCATTTATCTGTTTTATGGTTAATTTTTTTATAAAAGAGAAGATAAAATAATGGTACAACTGAAGAAATGCAGATCTCTCTCTCTCTCTCTCTCTCTCTCTCTCTCTCTCTGACAAAGTGTTTGTGTCTGTGCACTTTAATGCCTTGTACAAATTTACCTGCTAAGCTAATATTAAAACGTGCTTGTGCACTGACCTTAGAAGTGTTTGACAGCCTCTTTATCAACCAGGAAGTAAATATGGAGGGACACCTGTCTGCTGCATTTACACACACATACTGTGAATCCAAGGGCGATCCAAGTTAACACATTAGTATGTTTACTTTGTCATTGGGAGAAAACTTTATTTTTACCAAAAATGCATTATGTTAAAAGCTGGTTTTCTCATATTTGTTTAATTTATGTTAAAATAGTTGAAAAGTTTAGTTATAAATTGGTAAAATTGAAAAATGTTTATCATTGGTAATTACCGTGCAGTTGGATCACACTGGTGGTCCTTCAGTTGTGTGTGTGTAAACCATCCTAAGCGCAACTCTATAGGTGTAGTGATGTGTGATTAATATCTNTCTCTCTCTCTCTCTCTCTCTCTCTCTCTCTCTCTCTCTCTCTCTCTCTCTCTCTCTCTCTGACAAAGTGTTTGTGTCTGTGCACTTTAATGCCCTGCACAAATTTACCTGCTAAGCTAATATAAAAACGTGCTTGTGCACTGACCTTTGAAATGTTTGACAGCCTCTTTATCAACCAGGAAGTAAATATGGTGGGACACCTGTCTGACGCATTTACACACACAGACTGTGAAACCAAGGGCGATCCAAGTTAAAACATTAGTCTGTTTTCTTTGTTATTGGGAGAAAACTTGATTTTTACCAAAAAGTGCAATATGTTAAAACTTTGGTTTCTCATATTTGGTTCATTCTTGTAGAAAATGGTTGATAAATTTAGGTATAAATTGGTAAAAATGAAAAATGTTTATGATTGGTAATTACTGTGCAGTTGGATCGCACAGGTAATCCTCCAGTTATATGTGTGTAAACCTCCCATAGCACAACTCTATAGGTGTAGTGATGTGTGATTAATATCTAAAAACACAATTTTTACATAAGGTTGCTCCTCTCGGGCCTGTTTCAAAAAAGAACTTTCAAAAGAAAGTGGGTCTTGACTTGGACAAAGAAATTTTCACCTGCACAAATTTGGATAAATGACCTGTCTTGAGCTGAAAAAGAGTGGTTATTAGTCTGAAAAAGCCCCAATTTGTTTCTTGTTATAAAACGAGCACAATGATTCATTTTACTGGACAAAATATGATGTTTTTATGGCAAAAGAAGACTAGGAATTTGTTCTTAAATTTTAGACCAAATTTTGATCAATACATCAGATATTTTATGAAATGGCCCCCTGTTGTGTATTTATTTTAACTACCAGGGTATATCTACCTGAGCTTGCTCTAATCCATATTGCACCTGTCAAAAATAATTGGTGACAGCAAACTCTTCCAAGAATTAACCACAGCACAACAAAGTGATTCATGTTTAAGTATGACAGATCACCTGACAAGATATTAGGTAACTACGGTAACTACGACCTGGGGCTGTAGGTGGGGGGGGGGGGGTTTAAGGTGAGGGTTGGGATGAAAAAACTGCCCTTTGGTCTAGAAAAGATGACCACCATGAATTAAAATTTGATCTCAGTCGTATATGTATGCCATTTTTCATGCTTTGTTGGGTAAATTGGTTAAAAGGTCTGCTTTTTTTTGGAAAAAGAAGCCCCCTTTGAAATTTTCCAGTTACAGGCCTGTAATCCTTCTTTTGAAATGACTGGACTGCATTCAGTTTGTTAACAAGGACATACATTTGCAATGCATGGGAAAAGACATGATAATGCTATTATAGAAAAGTATAAGATACAGCAATTTTAAATCCCCCCACCCCCACCTCCAGGAATGGCAGATCACAGTAATCATGTTAGATGTTAGACTAATAGGTCATGGTATTCAGTATACTAATAATAATAGTATTTTAAGATAATTTGTTGAGCATTCAGTAAATGTGTTTCCATTCATAAGCTCTCTAAAGCACTGACTCACTATAAAGAGGATTACAGAAGATTCATATTACTCAATATGAGAGACATGTGCTTATAGGACATGTTTTTAGTAGGGGCAGGTGTTTTGCCTCTGTGTAGCATTTTATGCAAATAATAAAATGATACTGAAATTTAAAAAAAAGTAAAATTATACTGAAATTAAAAAAAAAAAGATTCATGTTACTTTTTCAGTCAGGTAATTTTGTGGTAAATTTTGCAGGTCTGCATTACCTTTTATTTAGTAACTTTCTGTAGTTTACATATTTTGATTTTTATTCAGTATTTCATATATGCACATTTTGCAACATATTTCTTTAAAGATTGAATTATTACTAATTAATACCATTGATTTTGATTTAATTTCGAAAGCCCAGTGTCTCCCAGTATTATATTCTACTCGTAAGAAGAGTCTAAGAAGCATTTGTAACAGTCTCTAAATTCTGTGTTATCTTATCAGGGACTTTGAAATGTCAATATTTATTTAAAAGACTGGCTGACAGCACAGAGAGAGAGAGAGAGAGAGAGAGAGAGAGAGAAAGGTGACTGAATTTTGATCAGATGTGAAACTAGACGAACTGAAATTGCATTCCAAAGCATAGGGAAATATTCAATTAGATAATAATTCTTATAGATTGTATAATTACCCATAAGTTATAAAATTAAAGGAGAGCTCTGTTGAAAAGAACATTTGAGATTCTTTGGTCTTAGAAATTTATTTAAAAAGTCAAATTTTCACCCAAACCAATAATAATTCAACTAACTTGATACGTTTACAGTTATAAAAAATGTATATATAAAAGAACCATTGCAAACTCTATGTGCTCCTTAAAGTCCAAACAGTCTGCATATCTCGTCTTATCTTTAATAAAGCCTAAGGAGGCCAAGTTGACGCAACTAGAAAATTTCGTATTACCTGCATGACAGAATGTGCCAACTTTGGCTGTAGATTTGGTAAGACTAGAATTATCATACCCGGAATTATTGTGTCTGTGTTTATATTTGAGTAATACTGTAGTACAATTAGTTCTAATACCTCTTGAGTGAGAGTTAGTGACTGTTGGCAGGGACAGAGGGAATTTAGAGGTGTTAAGGCTTCTTATCAGTCATTGGTTGGCATGATGGGGGTGTAAATCACATGTTAGTTACAAATTGGGTAATTATTGCCATAATATGTTATTAGAAAGGAAAGTATGTGAGCGTGTCTATGTGTATGTTTGTGAGCGTGGGTGTGTTAGTGATTGTGAATAGGTGTGTGTGTGTGTGTGTGTGTGTGTGTGTGTGTGTGTGTGAGAGAGAGAGAGAAGGGAGGAGTTTTAGTATATGTTCTTGTTATTATTATTGTTATTATTATTGTTATTATTATTATAATTACTACTATTATTACATTTATAATTAATCTTCAAAAACGTGTAGATTTTTCTATGCCACAAACTTGCCTTTGTGGATATGTATCAAGTGTTCCAAGACCCCCTCTTCTTTTCATATTCAAATATTAAAGTACTTATCAACAATAATGTTATGGTGGGTCTAGTTAGAGGATGGGGGCAGAGAAGGCATATATATTCCAATTTGGAGGCTCCTTTTTCTCACTCCCTCCAGAAAAAAAAAATTGTGTGCAAAGCTTATGTACATGCATGTACTATAGTAAAAGTACTCTCCTGCTGTTTATTTTATATTTGACATGGGAATTGCAGAAAAATAATTCAAAAATAGATTACATGGTTTGTACCCTATTCTCAGCATAATCTTGGAATCACCAGTGTCATATTAGTACCTTCATATATTGTGTAACATAATAATTTGTCACTATATTTGTATCTCTCAGAGTCCATGAATATAGAAAAAAGTTTTTTCTAAATTTTTCTCAGGTAGTGGATGGTATGAAAGGCAATGGATGCTTACAAACTTTAAGGTCATCATGGTGACCCTTTTGTCAAGTCCTGTAAACAAAACTCACCTTTTTTTCGCTGAAGTCTAAGGCAAAGAATTGTTCCCCTTTTTAGGTCGAGGAGGAAAGAAAAGCCAGAGAAAAGAAAAAAGAAGAGGAGAGAAAACTCACTGCTGCATTGGCCGCAGCTGCACTTGAGGCTGAACAGGAACAGAAACGGAGAGAAGAACAACAAAAACTGAAAGAAAAACAACAGTTGGAGGAGAAACTGAAGGAACAACAACAGCAACAACAAAAACAATTGCAACAGAAAAACATGTATTCTGCTGCGGACCCATATTATTCTCATCAGCGCAATTTCAGTCCCGCTAATTACGACGCATTTCCTCCGGCAGACTATGAAAACGAAGATGATGTGATCCCAAGAGGACATCAACACAATTATCACCACAGAGACATTCATAGAAATGAACCGGATTATTATCAAAATGGCCACCCTGTTTCCAACCATCGAAATATTTCCGCACCTCCTCAGAGAGATCCCCATAGAGATCACAGACATCAAAATGGCCACAATGCAGACTTTGAGAGGCCCCAACAGGCTAATTTGGTTGTGAATGAACATGGATATTTAGTGGAGAGGAGCGTTAGTCCCCAGAGGGAGCCCCAGGGTTATATTTCTCACCACCAGAGTGCAGCACCAGTGCATCCCATGTCTAATGGCAGGAATGCCCATGAAGCAAGGTAAGGATGATGGAGGGAAGGAGAAACGGATGAATAAACAGGAAAAAAAAGGGGAGAGATAGTGTTAACAAATAAATGAACTAGATGAAGAGAAAGGTAGAGCGAGAATCAATAATTGAATGAACGTTCTTGTTTGTCTGAACTTTGTTTACTGTAGAGGTCAGTTCAGTGTAATTAGGTTTGCATGCTTTATTCACAATGAGGGCTTTTTTGTTGAATTATTATAATGACAGGTGAAGGAAAACATATATATATTTAACTTGTCTCCACTGAGTGGGATTTTAAATATGAACAAAAAAAAAAAGAAAAAAAAAGAATATATTTTATTTAGTCAAATAAGAGTTGTAGTAAAGTCAGAATGTTGTAAATTGTGTATAATAAATAAAATAAATAATTTAGAATTAGGCTGTTATTATTCAGAGTAAATTATTTATCATATATTAAGCTGTTATTTTATATGCTACATAAACAATGTAGTCCAACATTTTAGTCTTCCCAATTAAAAAAAATTTAATGAAATAAAAAAAAGTAATACTATTAAATATTACAGGTGTAGTAAAACACACTGAATGAATGAAATTAATTCTTAAAAAATCTTCCAGGTACAATAATATGCCTGATGTGGTCCAGCCCATGTCGCGGCGGTCAAGACTGGGGTCTGAGGAGGACCTTGACCAGACGTTCGGCCAAGCCCCACAGCCAAGAAGAGGCTTAAGAAGGACCCCTGCTGGAAAGCTTGTGGATAAGAGGTAATAGGATCTAAGACGGCATTCAGATTTACACATTTACTAGCTAGGTCAGTTCAACTCTGCAGGGGATTCTTGCGAGAGTGCAATCGGGGAATTAGCTTAGGATTATAGAAAGGTGCTGTTTATCTGTGTAGGTGTATAGAATTGATAGAGTTGGTTTTGATATCAATCTTCTCTCTCTCTCTCTCTCTCATTAAGTTTAGAAGCAACACACTAGGTAAAAATTGCACTATTTAGTTTCTTAAGATAATTCAGTCTTGTATAGAGACATCAACAGAGCAAATTTAAATGACTGTTTTTTTCTTCCTGCAGCCTGGGGCCACCAGGACACATTGATAAATTGATTGATAGCAATTTAATCTCCGATCCTCATTATTTGCCAATCCCTTAACTGATTTTCTCTGGCCTGCAAAGGAACTTATCATAGTAAAACCTCACAGCAGCTTTTGTTTGCTTCTGTGACAAGAAATTTAAAAGAAAAACACACACATCCTTTATCAAAACAATCACACAAAATACACTTCCTCAGATTGATGAATTAGTTGATAATGCTAAGATTCCTGATCTAATAAAACGTGTGCGCGGCATAGACTTGACGAGGCATGCGTTATCAGCTGTTGCATGTTATTGGCAATTAATTATTCAGTTGCCTTGACTTTGGCATTAGGTAATGAGAGCCTTTCTGTAGACCTGGATGTTCAGAAACGGTACCGTCACTTGCCTCAACTTTGTTGCTCTCTGTAAATTAAGGCTAATTTACCAGTATACCAATGCATCGATTTTTAATATAACCTTGGATAATATGAATTTTGCTGCAGTATGCCACCAGAAAGTTATTAGGCAGTAACTACAGTAGCTTATTTGCTCCAGTTTGTTGCTGTTTTTGAAGGTATCTACCGATGACTCAGGTAAACGTATGTATTGATAACTGGTTTTTGACTTGATTAGTTACGTTTAAAACTGTCCATGTTTATAGAGTCCTTGCTGCAGGATATGCTGTTCAGTCTACAATTGCAAGGATGTGTTAATTGTTTAATGTTAGATAATTTAAAAATTGAAGTCTTTTGGATTGGTAAGGAATCCTGTGTTGATGCAACACAATTCTCATGAGTCACGTTTTCTGGCTTTTATTTGTTATCAAGATATGGTGACTTAACTGATGACAGACTATTTGCAAATAAAGCTTATACCGTTATCCGTAGCAGTAACTTTTGTGCGCTTTGAAATTGGGTAGTTTTTCTTTTCTTTTTTTTTTTACTAGGGAAATTGCTTAATTGCTATAAATGCCCTAAAGGGACCATGTCTTCTGAATTTGTCATCAAAGCAAACTCAAAACTTGAATTGATACCTTCGACCTGGGAGGAATTTTTTCCAAACTTTTCCTTTATGTTGGTTACTTAGATTTTCATGTGATACTTATTACATATGGATCAAGTATTTTTTACAAAAAAAGGATGAAAAATAATACTGTAATTATATTTTCAATGAAAGACTGCAGACTGGTACAAAATGATAGCCAGCATTAGATGGAGTAGCTTTGTTTGCTAACCTGAACGTCACCTGAATATGAACGCATGGCAGGGTGCCTCGCCTCGTGCTTGTTGCTGTCCGCAAAGGCGTACGGTATTGACTCAATCTTTTCAATGGGCAAAAATTATCAAACTTTTAGATACATCATTTTAAAATCATAAAAATTATATTTTTGTATAGCATTGGTGGTGCTTTTAATGCATAGAATAGAACTATAAGGTACCACTCAATAGGATTGGTCTTGTTTTAAGAAATTAAGACTTAGAAAATACAGTATCTGTAAATCCACAATTTTCCCCCATTGAAAAGATCCGAGTTATTACCATAAATATGTACCAGCATATACCAATACATTGAGTCAATCAGATAATGTATTAGTTATAGTTAGCTACAAGTACACTGCAGAACACTGTGGTATTATACAGTAGTCTGTAGGGTCCAGTTTGTTGCTGTCTGTAAAGGTAATGCCAATGGATTGGATAGATATATATTGGATTATTATTTTTATTATTTTATTATTATTATTATTTTATTTATTTATTTATTTTTTGCAATTTTATTTTTGCAGTTGGTTAGTTTTAATTGGACACTCTTAATGGATTTAGTTGCAATATGGAGGTCAGTCTACAATATAAAGCATCTATTTTAAAGCTGCTAGATTTGTCATTTTTTTTAGATTGGTCTAAGCATTTCTGCTTTTATGTAACATGTGTGAAGCATTATGAATGGGTCATATAGTCTGGCTTTATCATCAAGACTGCATGGTGACAAACGGTACAATGTATGACCTAAATTAGGCACTTAGCAAACACTGCGCATGATTTGATATTGGTAAACTTTTCTGGTTTTATATAGTATGGTACTCATAGTGAAAATATATTTTCAGTACTCTTTCAAAAAAGTGGATTTAAAAAGTGATATCTTATATTAGGTAGCTGGAATACACAAAAAATGTTTAAAAAAGGTTGCTTAGCCTTTCATTTTGGCTTATTATAAGTGACCATTTTATTTTAAAGTCATAAAAAGCATGGGACTCTGAAAAGTAACTTAAGCCACAGACAGCCTGCATTAGAGAGACATGCTTTGTTTGATGTGGCAGAATTTTATTTATTTAATTGTTTTAAAAAAACAGACTTGTTTAACACATTGGAAAGTTAGATGTTACTTTGTGAGACAAATTTGTATGAGTTAACTGAAATTAAGCAGCTAAATTGTCATGTAAAACAATTTAATTTTTATTTGAAAATAAAAAATACTTGAATTATAGACTATTAATGGGAATCATCTTGGATAGGCTTAAGCTTATAATTTTAAATGAGGTTTTTGCATGCCATGACTTAATTCCTGTGAGATTAGAAAATATGTATGTATTGAGGTGGGGTTATCTGTTCAGCAGTGTGGGTGAAAATATAGGCCTAGGGAACATCATCTTAAAAATAGGTACAAAAGTGACACTAAAAATGATGAATTTGCACTGTATTGAGTGTAAGAAAGAAAAACTGGATATTACTTTTTTTTATGTATTTTCATGGATGGTTGTGTTAAGACTTATGCAAAGGTATGGTCAGTATTTTGGGAAATAATAAAACAAACAGCCAACCAAACAAGTAAAAAGACATATGATTAAAGACTACACTGAAAACACCTTCAGGATTTAGAGTGTATGATAAATGCGTTGAGGGCAACCTGATGCAGTAGTTCCATTTTAGAAACATTTTTCCAAGGTAGTTTAAATTCCCATCATTTTTTTCAAAAGTATATATTCTAGTATAAAATCATATTTTTTTAAAATATTGCATATCAATTTTGGAGCAATTTAAGGCACCTCAATTAAACTACCATACCTATATAAATCAATGTAATACTCATACAGCAGTTTCATTTTGAAAACATACAGTATATTATTCAAGCTTAGATAATCAATGAGGTCACCTTCACAGTTGGTGTTATTTTTCATATAAACTGAATGAAATCTTATACAGTAGTTTCTGTGACCTTTGAATTTTTCAAAACATGTAGCAGGGCATGTCTGTTCAACAGTCTTCAGTGAAGATCCCCTCAAAATCTGTAGTATTTTAAAGTAGGTTGAATAAGACCTGGTACTGAACTTTTTTTACCTGCATTTTCAGAAATATGTATCCCAGTGTGAAGTCTTCAGTAAAAGCACCTTCAGAATTTGCTGTCAGCGATGCTGGTCATTACAGACGGCCATTGTCACGGAAAGTTGACAAAGATGTTTTGTACCAGGTAAGACATTGTAAAAATAATGAGAACGAAATTTTATTTACGTAAATTAATAATTTGCCACTCTCATAGATCTCATAGTAGCATCCCTTAAAATTGTTCTTTCTTGCTACATACGTATGTAACTGATTTAAATGATATGAGTCTGATTTTTGTTTGGTACTATTGCAAAGTTAGATGTGGCCTAACTGAATACGTGATCTGCCAATATACAAAATATAAATAATTGGTGATAAGCAAATAGAAGTATTTTGACGATTCAGAAGTATATTCTGTTATAAGCCAGGAAAGCAAAACCTGCTTGTCATGCAAATCTTGATTGCTATCTAGTTAAATTGTGTTTATTTTACTTGAATGTAGCAAATAGTTGAAGATTCCCTACAGAAGCGATCCTCGCTCGAGCCAGATATATGGTGCAAGCTTGTCTACATGGAAAGAGAGCAAGGGATCGCAAAATTCTACGTCAGGGAGCCACAGTTTACGGTAGATGGCTCGGATCATGAGTACGACGGACAGAAGTAAGTCCAGGGTCTTATTTCATAAACTGTGCATGTGTTAAAGCAAACCTTTTCCAATAATTGTACAGCAAACTGGCTGTAAATATAGTGTATAAAACATTCTCCTTTTGTTTAAAAAAGGTTTGCCTGATTAGCTATTCATTGGTGATGAATTATAAATCTTGTGTCTTAAATGGATTGTTGGTATCATGGGTCTAGTACCAGTATTTACCAGTCAGTTGTATAAATAATTTCAAAGTGCAGATACATGTGCATATTTTATATTAAGAATGCTTTTTATGGATTTGATGTATGTCTGTCAGGTGACATTAACTTGGGTGAAAGTTGTAAAAACTGAAAATCCTGAAAATGTGGCTTGCAATTTCTCATCACATTTAGACCATATGAAAAAAAATCAAAATGAAGACTGAAAATTCTGAAGTCAGACATATTATACTGAAAACCTTCAACCATGCATTGATAAATACCCTCGTCACAGGGGAATTCTCAGAATGGAAATCATTCAAAATGGCTCATAGTTTCACAATTAAGTTTAAAAACAATACACTGCTTCAGAGATGCATTTTCTTACTGAGAAGCTTATTCCAGTAAAATCATTTAATTTTTATCATCTAAAATGATTAATAAATTATAATATTCAGGTTGGGCCTGGCTGTGTTTGAGAACCCATTCCGAGATGATAAGACTGCCAAAGTTCGAGAGCACATAGGAAAGGTAAGTCTATACTGGTCACACATGTAGAATAAATTTCTAAGAATTCGAACAAAATTCCTGGAATTCACTGAGTCACTTTGAGGCACCCTGAGTTTCAAAAGTTTCTGGAATCACTCCTCTGTTATCAGCATTTCTCTGCTATTTTCATTACAACCCTGAGTTCTGAGATTTCTGGAATTTCTCTTTTATCAGCATTTCTCTGCCATTTCCAGTAATTTGGCAGCTACTTGCCTTTGATAAATTGAGGTTTCTTGTAACCCCTGAATCTCAGGGTATGCTGTCACCATATGTTATCTGTGTAAGTCAGAATCAGGTTGGATGTATTATTTAATGAATGATTGTTGTCTTCATTCACAATTCTGAAAATGTTGGTTTTAAATAATAGAACTGATATGGGACGTGATTGTTCGTGAAAGCAGAAAGGCAGCATCTAGAATCAAAGGACATTTTTAAAATATTTGATTTTGTTTTTGATCAGCTCTTTCTGGATGAATGTGATGTGCCATACTATAACTTAACACATTTGTGTGCAATTTTTGTGTAAGAAAGAATTTGAAATATAATCATAAATTTTGTGCTCTCAAACACGGCTGCCACTGACATGTTTGACTGAATATTTTTTAAAGAAAGTAAAAGATACTGATGTTAAGTGCGACATCTGATTGGGGGAAAATATTCATTCTATGATATTCCAGGGTGTTTTGATAAAACGTGACAAAGAGGGAAATATCTGGGCCATCCGATTGGGTAAAAATGATGTCATCGTCAAGGGTTACAATGACCCCAGCAGCTGTAGCGTATCGGCAGACGTCATCAGAAACATGGGCAGACTGCCAGCAGAGAAGACCATTAAGGTAAAATGTCCAAAAATTGGTTCTAACCTCATGAAGAGGGCACTTGATTGCAGATAATAATAATAATAATAATAATAATAATAATAATAATAATAATAATAATAATTAAGTAAAGAAAAAGAATGATATGTGTAATCAAGATTTAGCATAAAAACCATGCACTTCTTCAGAAGTGCATTTGCTTACCCAAAAACTTATTCCTTTAAGATCATTGATTATTATAACTATATATTATTATGTGTAATCATCATATCTAATATGTGTGTGTAAATGAACTTGTCTTGATGAGTTTCACTAGAAGTGAAAAGTGAATTTTCAAACATTGCTTAGATATTGAGAAAAATCATTAGAAAGCAGCTGTCAGTGGAAATTGCTTAATATCATGTCATATATTACTTTAATTTTGTATTTCATGTTATTATTTCAGGTATTTGACATGGGAGAATTCAAAAGCCTTATAGCTTTAGAACTGCGTAACAGACACCCAAACTTGGAGCGGTTACGGACAAACTGCATTGTGGCCTTAAGTTTTGTCCGTAACACATTAGATGACATGGACACGCCCTGTTGGATCATCATTATTAATTATGTAGCACTTAACGCTCTAGATGATGAGCATGGTATGTTGAGTTTATTGTAAGGCATGGAGGGGGAAATCATTGGCATGAAAATAACATTCATCACTTTTTAAATAATTTTATTCAGATGATAGATGTCCACTATCAACACACCTTTTTTCCTACTACAAAGACCCTATAGAAATATCCTGTCTAAAGCACTTTTTATAATTCTAAATATTATTGCAATATTTCATATGTAATTATTTTGTCCAAGATGTCACAATTCATAAAAAGGAAATAGCTTTAAGTCCATATTTTTCAGACCAATCTTCTAAGGCAATATTATAATGTCATGCATAATGATTTTTTTTTTAAATATGAAATACATTTCTGTATCTTTATCTTGTCTCACTCTCTTGTTTCAGTTTTACATTCCATTGAGTCTTCCCTAAGTGAACTTATGCAGGATCAACAAGGCAAGGAGGGCGGGAAAGTTGTTAATGTATGTAGTGACTTTTCACAATTCTGTTCTCTCACTTAGCACAACGTCACAGACACGTAGCACAACGTCACTGACAAACCAGCACAATGTCATTGTCACACCTAGTATGATATAATCATACCAAATGCCAAGTCATTGTCACACCTGACATACTGTCATTGTCACACCTATTGCATTGTCATTGTCACGCCAAGCATATAATTATCATACCCAATGGAAAATCATTGTCACACCCAGCACAATATCATTGTCACACCTAGAAACTTATTATCATACCTAATGGAAAATCATTGTGAATTTGGGTTAAAGTGAAGTAAATTTAAGCCTAAAAATGTAGACCAGTTTTCAGGCAAAAGCTCTTGAATTTGTGAAACAGGTGCCTTGAGTCACTTTTTCCTTACTTAGTACATAAATTTTGGTTGACGAATTCTCTTAGCATAACATCTTGAAAGTTTTGATTCAAAATTACTAGTATATAAATCTCATGGTTCATAAAATAAGCATAAATATTGAATCTTTATTTCTTTTTTTTTATTATTAATTTCAGAGACAGTGGTCTAAGAATAATTTACGGCATGACCTTCAGCAGGCAGAGAGGGAGCCTCCTGGTCGAAAAAACAGGATCGAACTTCGCAAACAGAAAAAGCCTATCACAGACTTCAGCTGGTTACAAGGTAAAACATCTTAGTACATTGTTTTTATTTTATTCCAATTAACAGAATGCACATTAAAGAATTTGTAGTCATCTTTTTAATTTAAACCTACTTGTAGAAACTTTGACATGTAGGTAATACATATAATTTAGCTAGATTTTACTGGAACCCTTTCATGCTAATTTGAACTTGAGGCCATTTTCACATCAGGTGGCATACTTTAGCAATATAATCTCTACTGGTACATTTTGAGAGAAACTCACATGTGGTAACACCACAAGAGTTTTTACTCATTTTCACAAGTTTGACACTTTTTACTCTTTGGGTGGAAGATGACTTTTTGGCCGCGTTAAGTGTGGGAATCCGTAACTTGTCACTCTCTCAAAGTGTACCAGTACAGATTGTAATTAAAGTATACCACTCAATGTTAAAAAGACCTTGTAAATATCCACTATAATTCAGTCTGGTTAAGGATATTTCTTGGATATTTGATATAATGTACCACGTTAGATAAATTTTACACTATTAACATTAATTTTGAGGAATTACCGTAGTATCTCTTGAAACATCTCTTATATGTCCCACCTTCTGTTCTTATTGCAGCCAAATGATATATAGAAACAGATTTTTATAAGGTACAATGCATGCAGTTTAGTACATTTTATATTAATAATAATTTTTATATTTTATTATTTTATTACCTAATCCTGGTGGATGTTAAGTAATATTAACCATCAGCTACCTTCCCCTCTGACAATTACCCCCCTACCCCCCCCCCCAAAAAAAAAAAGGTAAAGCATGTACCTTGGTACGAATATATAAAATTTGATGACAGATTTATCTTTCATTTTTTTCTTGCTCTCTTCCATTAACCCTGTTTAATGTACAAATCCAATTATTATTTTTTTTGTGTTGTTGTATATTTTTCATTATTTTGCATATTTTCTTGTATTATTTTGGGACATAAAAATTACCAAGCAAGTATTTATTGGAACGGCCTTGACCTTTTATAACCTAATTGCAAATAACCAATACTGGTATGCTATATGCATTTATACATATTATAATTTTGCATTTATTTTCATTTCAAATGCTTCTCCCATTCATTTGAAATGGCCTTTAACCTGATGAAATTGACATTCGTTTTCTCCAATTTTATTTCGATTTTCCTGACCCATGACCTTGACCCAGATTTGTTTTGCATTTGACCCAATAAGCTGACCTAATTTTTGGTTGTCAATTTCACCTCAGAACCTGTAGCTAGCCCAGCATTACAGTTGCTAGAACTCCGTAACCAGGGTGATAAAAACGATGAGTCAGAATTATATTCTGATGATGAGGATTATGAAGAAATATCGGGTAATGGCACGGAAGCTTTGCATGGCTACTTTCTGCATTGGTAGAGGCTTATATATCATTATAAACATGCTTGGGTTCTAATGTGGGAGCAGATTCCAGCTTTATCTTTAAGAATTTCCTTCATGAATATGAAACATTTGTGTAGCAATTGATTTTTTTTTTCTTCCTAAATTGATTCATTTGACAAATATAGATTTAGCTATAGACTTAAATTAAAATGCTTACATGAATCTTTTGGGATGGTTTCACAAAAGAAGTTAAATATTGGACATTAAGACCAAAACTTGGTCTATTGAACCTGGAAAAAAATCAGTATTTTTTCTCCCTAACAAGGATAATTGGATCTGTTTTGCAAAAAGCTCAGAAACAATTTTGTTTTAGAAGGATGCCTACTTTTCAGCTATCAATTTATCCTTGATTGGTAAAGATGGTGATTTTCAAAACAAATGAAATAAGTCCAACATTCGACTTCAGCTTCTTTTGTTTGATTGGCCTTAGATTAAGTTTTATAGACTGAATGTTCTTTTTTTCCTTTTTCTGCCATTGAAATTTTTGAATTGCTGCCAATGATGAGAATCTGGAGAAAATCATTTTGAGTCTATCATATTTATGGTTAATATACAACAATTAAAGTTTTTAATCTCTTTCACTGACCAGAAATTAGAATATAGAAGTTTGCTAAATTAAATAAATTTTATAGATAAATAAATCATTTCCAATTAGCATCTACATAGCGTTTGCTGTGATTTGAACTTGATATAGATTTGTTGATTAATAGTTCTGTTATGTGATTGCCTGATTATAATTAGTTAATTTTAAAAGGCATAAAAACTGCTTTTAGTAGTGCCTGATTTGTGTAAATTTTGGACCTCAAGTCTTACATAGAATTATGATTTCATCAAAAATTTAAGCATATATAGTGTATTCAACATTAAAAAGTCACCTAAAACCTTCTTTTTTTCAAATTTCAAAGGACCAAATCATAATTTGCCTTTAGCGTGTTTTACCTTTTTTATTGTTTTTTTTTGCTGTAAGTTTGATTGATTATTTTGTTGGGGAATTTTTTTTTTAAATTTTCATGCAGGATATATTTTTCTCTTAAAATGTGTTGTTGTAGATGCAGTGTCTCTCAAAAAAAATTCAATGCAAATATTTTTTTCAGTTTGATTACTTAATTTCCAATTTATATAATATCAATTATTTTTTAAATTTATTAATGGATAATAATTATCATTTATTAATTGACAATTAATTGATAAATGGTCTACAACAATTTAAAGATGGCTACATTCTATTTCCAAAACTTAATTATGATCATAGTATGTCTGGAGGCATTTCAGGATAAAATTGGTCCTAGTTAAAAGTATTGCTTGTTTTGCCTATAGATGGACTTTAAAAAAAATCTTCCATGCAAAAGTAGACTTTAAACTTCTAGAGAAGCAAGATGATTTGATCTTTTAGCCAATGCTTTTATCTCTTAGTAGTAAAGCACAGTATTATAGTTGAAGATTTTTAACCACAGTCTTTGCCATTTGTTTTTGAACCTGAGATTGTAATAAAATTTATCTTTTTGATGTATTTTATGATATATACGTGCACACACACATTCACACACACACACACACACACACACACACACACACACACAGAGCAAAAACCTTCACTATTTATTTTCAACACAAAGTATACAAAATATTTTAAAAACCAATTCAGTTAGTCCAAATAAATAGAGTGAAAAAAATCAAATTATACAAATTTTACACTTGTAATAAAGATATGAATAGACATAGATTATATATAACAGGGTAAAAAATCAGGATAATTAATGAAATTTTTATGTTTCATAGATTCTGAAAACTCGCCAAGCTCCCCAACCCGAAGTCGATGGGCAAAAATTGAGGTACTGAAGAAAGAAAAAGCCAAGGAAGAATCCAAGCCGTCTGCAGGCCAGAGTGAGCAGCCAATGAGAAAGAAGAACAAATCGGGTGCAGCATAGATTTATTTCCATGAGGTCACCATGGCAACAAAATTTCAAAATGTTAAGCTCAGTGTGGAACTTTTAATTGTCTGAATTGCTCACCTTCCTATCAAGGTAATGGTAATGACTTGGGTTTTTTCAATGGGAAATATTATGTGATAATATGATCAAATTGAATCTTTCAGATATGTAATTTCAGAATCATTATAAATTTACATTTCTGTATTGTAATTGTGGTGCTCTTACTGATTAGAATAATAGAATATAAGATTGACTGCTTATCAATTTTGATGCTTCCACTCCTAAGGAATGTGCTAATTTTCAGGTTTATGACATAAGCACTTACAGTATCTGTAAAATTAACAATTTTACCCTTTGAAAAGATCACATCAACACCATACCTGAATTTTGATAACTGCTGACAAAACCTTTACAAAAATTGGATAATTTGGTTATTCTTTTTCAAAAATGATCTTCACCAGGGCCGTAGCCTGAGCAAAATGCCAGGGGGGGCAGTAAGCGGACACGAGGGGGCGAAGCTACCGAGGGGGGAGGGTGTGGTGTGTAAAATTCCAAATTCCAGGGGGGCCCTGTTCACAAACCACATTTTGTGGTAAACACCTGAAGAAATACCAGTATATTTGCCTATACAACTGCCATACATTTGTTATATAATTATATAAGTACAAAGTACAACGTTGCAATATCTTTGAAATGACTTATGTCAATACTTGGCTTTGGTGTATATCGGTGTTGATCGCAGTCCATCAGAAGTTTTATCATATTGGTATCAACACACTGTTTTTTTCTTTCTCTCAGGAAATATTTGAATGATTGAATGAACAAGCAAATTGGTTTAAGTCTAGATTTAAAAAATGTGAAAATCACAAGGGCAACTACCCCATGCAGATTGAGAATGGTGAAAGTGCTGGCTTCTTTTATGAAATTACTTTTTAGAATACAAATTGGCAGAATTTGCCCTGGAAAAAAGTTATCCAGAAAGAAAGTGGAGTTTTAAGACACTGGTCTTTTGCTAGTAGAGTTGTAAAGGAGCTGCCTCATAGGTTAGTTCCCATTGTTTTATGTAATGAATGGATTAATTTAATATGATAATTATAGATTGAGGACATAAACGCCAATGAAATATCATATTTATGTGTACAACATACAGCCAGCATCTATCAGTTTTGAAGACCATGTAGTCTGAACTTATCCCGAACATTTTTATTCAAGAATAATGATGTGGAAAAGAAGGAATTCAGTTTTTTTAATTTTTTTAGTAATTCCAACACTTGTTTTATCAATTTTCATGTAAAATTAAATGCTTCATTGTGCATAATGTGACATCTTTTAATCAAAATTCGTATTTTTATTTATATTCAAACAATTATTTATCTGACAGTATGTACTTCACTTGACATATTATTAACAGACGTCTATGTATAATGTGTAATAATTTATTTGTTCCTGATTTCTTCCTGTTTTAAAGCAATACTTTTTGATTGTAAAGTCCTTGTTTTTAGTTGTCTTAACTTTATTACTTTAAGTTATTAGTTATGTGTTATTACAACAAAAAGCCATCTTGAAGCCAAGTTGAACATTTATTGCAATTTTTCTCTTTCTGTAACAATTTCAGAAAGCTTGAATATAGAATAATAAAGTTTTTTTTTATCTAACTGAGGATGGTGGTTACCTCATTTTTAAGCGTATAGATAATTTTAAAGATGTTGAATCAAACCCACAACAGATTTTCTCATATTGAACCCAGGCCTCTATCAGATTGGAAGAAATTAACATATAACATGTTCTGCGTGACTGCCCATTCACAGCTGACTCGAGAGAAATTCACTAACTTGGAGTTCAATAACTCGAAAGCAAAGCGAATAGCAATATCGCCTTTTATTTCAAGGTTATTATATGGGGCGAGTTATGGAATCGAGACACTTGTGCTCGGTTGCAATGCCCAATGCTTTCGAGTTATAGGGCCCTGATCAGTAACAGATATTTGAGCAAACAAATTTACTGGCGATATGTGTAAATCTGCATATCTCATATCTCTCCAATACAATTTCCTTGACTTGCTGATATTGTGAGAGTGAAAACGTTTTCTTTATTCCTCGTGCTTCTGCTTACAATTCAGAATAAATAAAATATCTATCTAGACTAAAATATTGGACGTGATGGGGGAGAGACCTGTTCACTCCTTTTTGAAAAAAAAACCTGCTGAGAAAAGATCAAGCATGCACAATTGTAAACAATGCTTTGACTGTAACAATAAAGTTTATCTTTATTTATATTAATTCAGAAATCAGCAATAATAATACCATAAAAATATTAAAAATCATGAACATAATGATAAAATAAAAGATAACAAAAAAACTGCAAATTACAGGATTAAGAATTAAAAAGATACACAAATTTTACATAAAACCCTAAAGACTGGGTAACAATTCTTATAATTAAAAAGGCAACTTGACAGTTATATCAATAATCTTCCTGATCCATTCTTTTACCCTCCAGTGCCTATTAGCAGAGTATACAAAACAGAAATATTTTCCAGTAATTTTACTAAATATTTAATTTTTACCCCTGCCAAGGAGGTTACATATATTTTGGTCTAGCTGGAAGTTGACAGCCCAACTCAGAAAGTTCCGGAAGGATTTTCATCATGTTTCAGGATAGGAAAAAAAAATTAGTTAGATTTTTGTGGCGATCCATTGATTGTTCAATTACCTAATAAGGAGAACTAAGAGCGCATACCCAGAGATTTAGATCGATCCAACTAGATCAACCTAACTCCCTTGGGTGTTCATGCTAAATTGCTGTCAGCCCAACCGTGCCCGAAAGTTAATTGCCCCCTTACAGCTTTTAGTAGGTGGGACAGACATTTAAGCCGACTAAGCTGACAGTAATCGAGTGAGACTCCCCACTGATAGATCTATCTAAAATCTGTGGGAATGGGGTCTAAGCTGTCATGGTAGATGTCTGTGCTCTCTTAGTTCTTTAAATTTCAAGTTTTATTTTGTATTAGGTTGTTTTTTTTTTCTTTTTTGTTCGGGGTACTATTTTTCTTTCAAGAAAATATTGGCAGAAGTAGAGTGGAGTTTCTGCATAGAACACCTTCGATTTAGAGCAGTGGCTGTTCTTCCCTTTTAAGGCAATATTTTCCTTTTAAGGAATTAGAATAAGTGGAGTAGAAAAACATTTGACTTGAATAATTTCAATTCAGCGTAATGCACACAATTACAGGATATAAAAGCAAATTAATTTTATGTTCACAAATGATTGAAAATGGAGATGGGCTTATGCTGCAGCACCTGTCCCTTAGAGAAAATATGACTTTATGATATGGACTTTGCATTGTGACATGACTTCAAGTGAGACTTGTATTAATTATTCAATTATTAATCATAAAATTAAATAAAATGGGAGTGACACTATTGAAAAATTAAAAAAAAAAATAAGGAAGAAAATGAATTCTAACAAAATTATTACAACTTCTTTGTGTCACATAACTGGAATTATTACACTCTTGGTAAGTTTGTCTAGAATAATTGTCATTGAGCAATTAATAATATATATATATATCTTATTTTCTAAACAGTGCTAGCTAGCAGCACAACATCTATACAGCTCTAAAATGCTGTGGTTTCTCGTTAAAGGCAGTGCAAAAAATTATAAGTTCAATTTGATAAAGTCCAACAAGCCAAATACTTACACATATAATAAAAATATAGTGTGTTGCATTTTTACTGAATTTTCTTACGTGTTTAACTTTCTGTTATGAAAATATATGAAATATGATGGTATGACTTAGTGGACTCTTCATTGTAACAAAGCCTGATAAACTGTTCAACAGTTCTGATATTTAGCATATTCCAACCTCCCTTAGGTAAGTAATTATATAATGTGACAGAACAAAATTATATTATGTAAATAACAAATACTTATGTATGGACAACTATTACAATTTTTTTACAGAATAAACATCTGTAAAGAATCCCTCTTTAGATAATTATATTTTCTAAAATTTTACATAATTAAATATCTGTCTGTTGAGAGGGAGATTGTTAAAATGGATTCAAAGCAATAATGATTGGTACTGGATAAAATGGGACTTGAATGCTGTTAAAATGACTTCAAAAACTTAACGTCACATCACAATTTAATACGAATTAAAGATATTATTATATAAACAAGGATTCTACGTCGTCTGCTCGACTGGTTTCTATGGCGTCTGTTCAACTGGATTCAGTGACGTCTGCTCACTTGAAAATTCTCATAGATTTCATCTTCCTCTTGAACTGCAGTGTGCCCTGTTCTCATTGCTTCCCCAGACAAATTTTCGTATGATTCCTCTGGTAAAAGACTACTGTCAGACGAATTTTCATTTGTTTTTGTGTCTTCTTCCTCAAGGTCGATCAACTGTTTTCTAGAGGCACTTTTAGAGTTATGTTGACTCATTTTGAATCTTTTAAAAGCCTCAGAAAGATCTGAAATCATACTTCTTGTACTCCCATGTGGATCCCTCATTGTTGCCTCTGTGGGCACCTCATCTCTTTTATTATCGGAGAAAGTTTGTAGCTCTGACTCTTCTTCTGGTTGTGTGTTTTCAGCGTTTCCAACGCCGAAAATTCTTTGAAACTCTTCCTGTTGTTTCTTATCTAAGTTTATATAAGTTGGTGGTCTGTCATGTTTCTGAACAGCGCCACCTACAGTACTGCGGATATTAACACCATCCTGAAACTCTTCGTTGCCATACACAGGAAGCTCCTTTTCATTGGATTCCATGTTGCCATATGTCGGTAAATCATTTAACTCTGACATTTCAATACCATTCACAGGCAGATCCTGCTGCCCGTCATCCACATTACCATTTATGGGCAGATCCTGCTGCTCATCTTCTACATTACCATATATGGGCAATTCCTGTTGCTCACTGAGTGGATCTTTCTTACCACGTAAGTGCACAGTTGACCGAACAAAGGCTTCATTGCCGTAGGTTGGTAAATCCTCTGTCTCATCAACATTGCCATACGTTGGAAGGTCATCCTGGAATAAAATGGTGGCGAGAGAGCTTTAGACAAAATTTTAGAACAAAACAATCATAATATTATGACAACTCTTTGACCATTCTCATAAACATTTTCTGTATTACTGTTAAGTTTTACATTTTACAGAAAATAAAAAGAGAAATAAATGGACTTTTATCCCCTTTTCCCCTATCTGTTGTGTAAATGCTGAGTATATAAATACATGTAATTCATAACAACTGTTATTTCTAATGCATTTTCTTGCTTAACCATACCTCTTCCTCATTGGCTGTCTGATTGTCTTTGGTCTCGCCCTGAAGTTGAAAGAAGAAATGTGAAATTTAGTTCTTGTTCACAGCTGCATATTATTGATTGTAATCCCCCTCTTCTGCATTTTATTAAAAACCCCTCACCAATGCTCACAGTGTACTCATTTAAGAAAGAGAGACCCTTTTCAAATCGTGCATTACACTTACAAATTTATCTGTATTGCAACACTTAGGGACGCTTTCAGAACCAGTTGATTCGCAATATAACTAGTACACGGATCAAATATAGCACTACCTATTTGAATTTAACGTGCCGAGATTTAATTGCTCTTCCCCTGCTGGGACGGCCCGCACAGGAAGTGGGAATTCATTGTCAAGTGTTTGCCATATTTAATGCAGGGGCGGATTGGGGCCGTCTTCTGGGTCTTCCGGAAGATGGTCAGATTTTCAAGTTAAAATTGACGGTTATCTACTTTTTTCTGTCGAAAGATGATCAAAAATGTAAGATAGATCAACAAAGACTGTCAGAAAACATCATTGGATCTGCCCCTGTGACAAGATCAACTAGTTAGGATCAACTTGCTTGTGAATGCGGCCTTAGACTGGTCAACACGTGATTATTTGCTTCCTTTTATAAGTTCACTTCCAATTGTTTGAACTATCTAAATTAATTCTCTTTATTGGATGTGTCAAGTCTCCATTTAAGTGACTCTTGTATTTATCTGACAGGTTATTAACTTGTCAATCTCTCAAAGAAACAAGATACAGATAAGTGTAATGCAATGTGTTAAGGGCCTAATTTTTTCGTAACTCGTCATCTTGTCATAGAGATTGTGACTGGTAAATTTCAATTGTAACAGTAAGAATCAGAAGTCATTCAACTCAAAAATGGCTACACAGATTCCAATATTCTGTACAGTTTTTGGACAGGATATGCTTTGGTGATAAATGGAAAAATCACTGAAATCTTAATGACAATTCTTCTTTTTTTTTGGCTACATAATGGTCATTATTTAAACATAACAAAAACCTACTGGGAATTTTCTAAGAGGATCTGGCGTGTATCTTGTTATCATCTCATGTTTTCTCAAAATATCTTGCGACTGAATCCCTGGACACAGTGGCCCCACCGCTCCCTCCATCTCCTCTTCTTTGATGTCGTTGTTCTGGAAGAAAATCAAACCTATTTGTTTAGAACTGATCAAAGTTTCCAGCAAAATTGAGCAATTAGCTAAAATGATATTTTACAGTTCTGCAAAATAGGTTTGTTTCAATAAGAAATCATAATTATTTAATAGCAAAAAAGGCCTGTAGACAGCAATTGTGGGAATGTTCCCACCATGAAGAATTTTTTGCGATACATTTCTCAGTAACAAACAAAACTCCTAATTAAAAATACATGTAACTCATGCTGTGAAAAAAAGCTTACCCTCCCTTGGGTCAATTCCTCCAATCCAGGGAGTGGAGGCGGAGCATGGTTCTTTCTTCTCCTCTTCCTCCTAACACACACAACCACTACCACTACAATTAACACTACCAACACCACCGCTCCACAGCCACCTCCTATGATGATATATAGGTATTTGTCCAAGAATGGGGGCTGTGTAGGAGGTGTAGTTGTACTTTCCATGCAAGAACCATCGGAAAGGCAGTCGTCTTTGCATCGAGGAGGGCAGCACCATGTAGCATTGGCGTTAGGTATAGTGACATTTTTATTTGAACACCTTTTGATGATATGAATTATTTCTACTGGAGGCATTCCAGATTTTAGCCATTCGGTGCATTTTTTCACCAAGTGGTCAACAGAGATATCCTGGTCAAAAGTATCTTGGCATGGCACGCATTGCCGTATGGTTGGTACGCCTGTTGTCATTGCTGCAGTAGTTGGCTCTGTTGTTGATGATGTTGTCATTGGTGTTGTATTTGTTGTATCATTGTAACTGTCAGTGATTCCTCTTTTGCTCCTAGATCCTCGACTGGAATGCATTGTCACATTGTCGTAAGCATCAGTAACATCAGTCACAATTGTACTGGATAATGTTGTACTTGTTGTGCTTGTACTTATTGCTGTGGTTGTCACAGGAGAAAATGAGCGATGAAAACCCGTTTTACATTCAGTGCAGTTCTTCTCTCCTGGACCACTGCATGAGGAACAACTGTCATGGCAGGGTTGACAAATGTCTGTTTTTTCTATTACAGTAAAATTGATGCACGGAATTGTGAAATTTTCGTCACTGCATAGCTGATTTATAACAGACGCATTTAAAAAAGTACCATTGTTGTTACACGATGAATTCAAATATAGTTCCTGGACTAGGACGCACAATGAATTTGTTTTATAAGATTGTTCTGGACAGTCGTTTTGATTTTGACAGGAAAAATTGTAGTGTCCTTCGGAAACTTCTACATACTGCAGACACCAGTCTGTCATGACACCACCAATAAGGAGCTGAAAACAGAAGAAAATCATTTTATTTAATAGACAGCATATACTGGTACTAGTTCTGAAACATATATTATGCTACATAAAAGTTAATGTATCGCTTAATTAGCCTTTGGAAAAAACATGAGCAAATTACAAGGAAAATTGCCATCTCACAGTTATGAATGATTTAATGAAAAAAAAAGGCGCTTTGTTAACAAATGAATGAGACAGAGTGTGGGAATAAAATTGACTGTGGATGAAAATTGGAATAAAATAATGTTTATTTGCGACTAAATATGGTAATATCTAAAGTTAACATTTTACAAAGAAATGAAATTCTGGAAATGGTGAAAATCTAAAATAAAAAGTAAAATGTTAAATGGTAATTATAACTCAACCTGACATCATTTGCACAATAACAATAAGATTGTTTGTTTTACCTAATGAATGGTGTATATAATAATTATTGCACTTTCAGATTTATGTATAATATTTTAAAAGTTTTGAAATCATATCTATACTCCTCATAATGATTTTCCACACTTAAGCGCATAAGTACTTGAAATTGATCTGAAATTTCCCCACAGTTGTTTATAAATACCTTTTTTGCATCATAAAAAATAGCTCATTTGATAAAGGAGATTACACTGGGTGCATATTTTTATAATTTTCTTGTCAATATAAGGTGGCGCTCTATGTAACCAAAACCACCATCTTTGCCTTTACTTCTAGAAGTTGTTGAGAAAGTTTACACAACACATTCACACAAACATTCACACACACACGCACTCTCTCTTATTACCAGTATTCGCACACACATATAGATACATATGCACTGATGCACACATGCACATGTACTTCCATGTGAAAATCGCACTGACATAAGAGAGGGATATACTATTATTAAAACCCTGCAGCTGCTGCACAAAGATGTTCAAGTATTTTATAAGTTACCTATTCCTTGAAAATAATATGATGTTTACCTGCTATTAAACATCAAGATCACCTTTTTGGCCTTCAGACTTGACAAAGCAGTCAGGTGCCTGATATAAAGATATCTTATATCTCCAACTGCCATGCATGGGGCCATTTTCACAAAAATAACATAAGCCTCATAGTTGCTTGGTCTAATTTTTTTCAGTCAAAACTTGGTCTGCTTTAGTTTATATAAAGATAAACCCATGTGTAAAGTGGGAATTGGTCTGTAACACGTAGAATGCTACACCTTAAACTTTCCCACACCCAATAGACTGTACTATAAAAACTATACGCATATCTGTATTAGCTGGTCTATGTATATATATTATATGTATATTATATATATATATATATATATATATATTTTTTTTTTTTTTTGGGGGGGGGGGCAAAATTTGGTCTGCTTTAGTTTATTTAAAGATAAACCCATGGTACATTGTAGTTGGCTTTATAAAGTAGGAAGCTGAGTCTTTAACTTTCCCACACCTTACAGACTGCACTTAGCTATAAAAACTGTATGTATCTCCGTTTTAATTTTTGCATGAAAACACGGATCTACTTTATATACAACACCAATATCTGTTTTTTTTATGAAAGCACTGATCAACACTACATACTAAATATATAACACCAAAATCTTTAAAGATTTATTAAAAATATAACAGGACTAAACTACGTAGTTTTCAACACACCAGGAAGACGCAGGTATCAGTGGCCCAATTTTTCCTTATATTTTCACAAAGCGCACAGCTCTTTTCAAATAACGCCTTGTTTTTTATTTACTTGCCCTCATTCTTAAGACCATACTATAGCCTTAAGTAAGTAGACTATATCGTAATTGAACAAGAATGTTGTATATCCTTGGTAAGGCTAATCAATAATGAGAACTATTGCCGGCGGATGGTGAATTGTGCATGGAGGTGGGGGGGGGAGGAGGAAAGCATGTCAAGATTTTTTTCTCCAATTTAATGCTTCACGAAGCAAACACTCAGTGTGCCAGCTTTCCCTACACACACACACACATACACACACACACACACACACACACATATCAAGACCATGCATAATGTTGTCTGTACATTGAAAATCTGGTACAGAAATTTTTAGCAAATGTGACAAATTTGAAATCAAAGTTATTCTTCTTCATAAAGACATCTGTTTTTGAGAGTGTTTCACTTATACATATTATTCAGCCAAATTTGAAAGATAATTAAAAATATCTGCTCTAATGACAGAAGGCAGACGATGCATGCTCGCCCAGGGGCTGCACCAACTGAAGATTAAAGAACAGAGGAAAATGAAGAAAGAAAAGAAGTACTGTTGAACAAAATTTATATGAGTAACCATAAATTTACGAAAAAAAAAAACCCCCGCCTATATTTAAATCTCATACCAGAGCTTCCATTTGAAACTCAGAAATCACTGTGTCAACCTTTAAAATTATCACAAAGACTTCTTCAGGTGGACAGAAATGGGCTGTCAAAGAGGCCACCGATGTCACCGACTGTGACGATTAATGACTTTGCTTTATAAAATTTTTGATACTACACTCCCTCTACCCCCAACCAAGCACATAACTGCATTCGAGCTCGTTCTCCAATGGAAACAACACATCTCACCCGGGGGCATGCCCTCTTGGGGCATGCCCTCTGATATACTAGGTAGACTTCATTTCTGTTTAGGAAGAGGGGTGAAAGAGAGATGATGTCCACCCCCCAAACCCTTCCCCACCAATAAAAAAAAAGAAAGAAAAAAAGAAAAAAAAACACAGAATAAGTAGTATTTGGCGAATAATGTGAAAACATCAACCGACTCGACAGCTTTATTCAATCTGAAATCCAAAACCAGTTTATTTTGGATCCTAGCTCTTAGTAAAGCAACAACTTTGTACTTCCTCTGTATTTTTTTAACTTTGAGTTTTTTAACTTAAAAACTTCCTGGATATATTTACCCAGTAAACAACAGTGAATCCGATCCTTTCTGGGGAAATAGGCCATTTTTTTTTTACAAAAGCAATTTATTTTGTAAATAAAAAAGTATACACTAGCCACCTGACCAAAGGTACAATATTGCAAATCACTACTAATTTTACAAAAATTCAGTTGTTTTATCATTTTTTTCACAGGCTTTAACTGTTGGATCTAATTTTTCTAATTAAAAATAATGTTGATTTCTCATTTCATATCAATCTATATTAGCTTCTGACAAATCATATTGAAGGCCAGCCTCTTAATTTTATACTTTTAATAATAATAATAATAATAATAATAATAATAATAATCCTTATTATGTACCATTACATAAGATGATATACTAATGTCAATAATAAGTATAACAGATCAATTTTAAGTGAAAAGTTATTACTATTATAATCATGATCATTATCATAATCATTAATATTTTTAATAAAGGCACTCTCAATGCACACGACACCTATGTGTACTGGTACCGCTCAATGCTCAATGTTAAAAAGGCCTTCATGACTTATATTTTGACTTCTTAAACCTTTAAGAAAATATATCATTCAACATTTCCCATAACTATGTACATACTGCGGCGCCTGAGACTGCCTGAGCAAATATAGCAATTGTTATCACTGGCAAACAAAGGCGAAGTTCCTGGTTCGACATCATCTCTTTGTTGATAAATCTCTAAAATCTAATCCAATCTGACATTTTGGATTTGCCTTACTTTAAATGCCATTACCTTTTCACCTATACATCTATCTGCAACTTAAAATTATTATCTCTAAAATGAACAGGACTTAATCATTTTGAGAACTTTATTTTGGGAGATAAAATTAATTTTTTTTTTTCAAATTTTATCAGAATTTATGAGATAAATGTGAGCTGAGAGATTACTGTCAGCAGACTGTTAGAGTCTTAGAAAAATGTCATGCCAACATCTTGGCTAAAGGCGATAATATTTACTGATTTGGTGTTGAATTTGTTATTTTGGCTACAACACATTTGCCAAGTGACTGATGCCTTTATAACAAAATGACCAACACTCATTCTCTCTCTCTCTCTCCCTTTCTCTCTCTCAAATATTTATATCAGTGAACACACTTTTAAGTCCTTCAAATACATAATCTGATAAGTTCTCATGAAAACAAGTGCTTGTTTTTCTTCCTTTGTCCAATATTTAGTCATTTGTTATAACGCATGTCCTAAATCTGTCAGCTAGCTGATTAAATATAGAATGGGCTCTTAACACAGGTATGTGATAGGTAAATTTTAAAAGAAAGCTGACCGCAGGCATTAAATTAAACTCAGTTCAGGGCCCTGTATCTCGAAAGCATGGCATATGGCGAATAGCGATATCACACAGAGGCTACAGTGTAATATATGGGGCGAGTATGGGCGAGTTATGGAATCAAGACATTTGCACTTGGTCACAATGTGTGATGCTTTCGAGATACGGGGCCTGGTCTTAAATGCCATCATCAAGTATCTTAATAAACCTAGGCATACGATGAACGTGCTGTGTACCCATTAGATTAATTGTAATCAACACAGTTAAAAAACAATAAATGTTAAAAGCTTCTAATGTAAACATTTTAATCTTTATTCGCAGATAAACACGTTCATGGACATCACACACTTTCTCTTGATAAGGGCAGTGTAAACGTCGCCATTGCTACTACATACTGGATTGGCAGGCAGTTGAAAGACCAACCTTATAATAAATATGGGTCATTTCAGATAAAGTTCTCCCAACTCTTTGCTACCTGTTTAATTTTTAACTTAGTGTTTTAAGTATTCTTAACAAGCAATAACCAGTTCCTTGACACTTTAAATGAAACTCTTTCTGATTTACATATGTACAAGTCATCCCACTCTCTAATTCCCCCCCCCCCCTCGCCCCCTATGTGAATATATATCTTTTAAATTTTTTCATATAGATTGCTCAACCTTTACTTAATTATGCTGAATTGCAAGTGTGCTCGCATACCATAAGGTCTTATCAAAATTTCTACAAGTGCCATGTTATCCCTGTCTGGGTATCAGACACATGTATGCCACAGCAGTGAAATAATTAAAGTCAGAAACAGTAAGAAAGGAAAATAATCCTTCCCCCTCTAAAAAAAAAAAAAAAGACTGAAATTCCCATTTCTATTTTATAAATTCCGTTTCATTTCATTATTATCTTTCCTGATTTTTTTTTTACATTTCATCCAAAATCCAGCAACCTTACAGTTGAAAATTTTTGACACAAAAAGAAGCGCAAATACATCTCACAATTAAGCCTTTCAGAGAACAAAAAGGAAGAAAGAAAGGAAAGAAAGGAAAGAAAGGAAGAAAAGCCAAAAATCTGTCTATTTTATTTCAAGATAAACCAACTTCAGTTCATATTGGAGAGAAACATTTGCTACATCTTCCTTGTTATAACAAAGGTGTAGTATTACTACCAATGACTTACTCTGGGTCACAGTTTACTCAAATCCTGGTCTGAAAGTTTAGAAAAAATTTTCCAGACTTGAGTTCTTTTGCAAAGCAGTCCGTTAATTAAAATGCCTCTGTGTCTCCAAAGTTTATTACCTCCATCTCGGAGGTTACACAGTAAGCTTTCACTTACCAAGGCCACAGATTGAGTTTCAACTTTCACTGGATATTTATGAACAGATATGTCCTTGGTTAAAATGTCGACTTTTCTCTGTATGATCAGGTTTATTTGGGTTCAAAGCTTAGCAATTGTGAAAGTAGTTGTCAGTAAAGCCCCCTTTACACTGGATGGCATCCTTTCTGTGTCCAGCAGTACGGCCCCATTTGAGAGTTAAAAAATCATATTACTTTAAGTGCCGACAACTGGCCGATCATTGAGCATTCATTCTGATACAAAATCAGTAGCCTAAGAAAAAATATGTTCACATAATAATAACTGCAGCCCTGGTAGAGGGTAATTTTCACCCAATTTTGTCTGTTTGAATGGATTTTGATCAAATTTTCAGGATCAATGGGCAAATTTAAAGGTGATAAGGTGATGATCCATTCATTCACTAATTACTCATTAATTTATTTATGGTTAATTATTAGTTAATCATATCTTGTCGGAGGTCTGTGCTCTATGAGTGGTTTCGTAATTAATGATATACAATGGTTTAAATGGACAGATTCTTTTTTGGAATAGTCATTCAGTGTTAGGCCATATTCTCAACCTTAGCTAATTAATTGATCTGCAGACTAACAGACCCACAGATCAAATATGGCCGACCCACTTGAAAGCTTGCTGCATAATCCCCTCAGAGAATCTATTCATTGTCTATTAGGGATTATGCGGCAAACTTTCAAGTTGGTTGGCCCAAGAAGTTATAATGAGAAGGAGTAGAAACGGGACATCAATTATCTCTCTCGTCCAATCAGATCGCAGCATTCTTTTCAAAGCGGCGTCCTTTGAAATTCGATCCTCGTAACTGGTCTAATCCTCCGCTCGCCTCCGCGTGACTCAAGACGGAGAAGCTGAACCAGTGATTTANGTTTCTACTGGAGGCATTCCAGATTTTAGCCATTCTGTGCATTTTTTCACCAAGTGGTCAACAGTGGTATTCTGGCCTAAAGTGTCTTGGCATGGCACGCATTGCCGTATGGTTGGTACGCCCGTTGTCACTGCTGCAGTAGTTGGCTCTGTTGTTGATGATGTTGTCATTGGTGTTGTATTTGTTGTTTCATTGTAACTGTCCGTGATTCCTCGTTCACTCCTAGCTCCTTGACTTGAACTCATTGTCACATTGTCGTAAGCATCAGTAACATCAGTCACAATTGTACTGGATGTTGTTGTACTTGTTGTGCTTGTACTTATTGCTGTGCTTGTCACGGGAGAAAATGAGCGATGATAACCCATTTTACATTCAGTGCAGTTCTTCTCTCCTGGACCACTGCATGATGAACAACTGTCATGGCAGGGTTGACAAATATCTGTTTTTTCTATTACAGTAAAATTGATGCACGAAATCGTAAAATTTTCGTCACTGCATAGCTGATTTATAACAGACGCATTAAAAAAAGTACCATTGCTGTTACACGATGAATTCAAATATAGTTCCTGGACTGGGCGGCACAATGATTCCGTTTTATAAGATTGTTCTGGGCAGTCATTTTGATTTTGACAGGAAAAATTGTAGTGTCCTTCGGAAACTTCTACATACTGCAGACACCAGTCTGTCATGACACCACCAATAAGGAGCTGAAAACAGAAGAAAATCATTTTACTTAATAGATAACATATACTGGTACAAGTTCTGAAACATATATTATGCTACATAAAAGTTAATGTATCGCTTAATTAGCCTTTGGAAAAAACATGAGCAAATTACAAGGAAAATTGCCATCTCACAGTTATGAATGATTTAATAAAAAAAAAGCGCTTTGTTAGCAATTGAATGAGACAGAGTGTGGGAATAAAATTGACTGCGGATGAAAATTGGAATAAAATAATGTTTATTTGCAACTAAATATGGTTATATCTCAAGTTTACATTCTGTAAAGAAGTGAAATCCTGGAAATGGTGAAAAACTAAAAATATGTACGATAAGAAATTCAGCCTGAAATCAATAAACAATAAGGTTGTGTGTCTTATTGTATGAATGTTTGTAACAATTATTATGCTTTCAGATTTATGTAATATTTTAAAAGTTAATTCTTATTTAGAAATCATATTCCTAATTATGATTTTCCATATGTTAGCACATGAGTAATTTGAATTGATCTGAAATTTCTTCACAGTTGTTTATAAATACCTCTTTTGCATAATTCTAAAAGAAGTTCATTTTATAAAGGAGATCTTACACTCAGTGTTAATTTTTATAATTTTCTTTTAAATATGAAGTGGCTATGTAGGTAACCAAAACCACTGATCTTTGCTTTTACTTCTAAAAATTGTTGAGTACTTGAGTCATTTGCACACACACACACACACACATACACACACACACACATGTAAATGCATGCACTTGCACACACATCCTCACACACACACAAACACACACACACACACACACAAACACACACACACACACACACACAGAGGCTTGCATAACACATTCACACAAACATCCACCAACACCCTCTCCCTCCCTCCCTCTCACACACACACACACTCTTAATACCAGTACTCGCACATATAGATACATATGCACTGATACAGTGACACATGCACAGTACTGCCATGTGAAAATCGCACTGACATAAGAGAGGCATATACTATTATTAAAACCCTGCAGCTGCTGCACAAAGATGTACAAGTATTTTATAAGTCACCTATTCCTTGAAAATAATATAATGTTTACCTGCTATAAAACATCATAATCACCTTTTTGGCCTTCAGACATGACAAAGCAGTCAGGTGCCTGATATAAAGATATCTTATATCTCCAACTGCCACGCATGGGGCCATTTTCACAAAAATAACATTATAGCCTCATAGTTGGTCTAAATTTATTTTAGTCCAAATTTGGTCTGCTTTAGTTTATTTAGAGATAAACCCATGTGTAAAGTGGGAATTGGTCTGAAACACGTAGAATGCTACACCTTAAACTTTCCCACACCTAATAGACTGTACTATAAAAACTATATGCATATCTGTATTAGCTGGTGTGTGTATATATATATATATATATATATATATATATATATATTTTTTTTTTTTTTTTTTTTTTGGGGGGGGGGGGAATTTGGTCTGCTTAAGTTTATTTAAAGATAAACCCATGGTACATTGTAGTTGGCTTTATAAAGTAGGAAGCTGAGTCTTTAACTTTCCCACACCTTATAGACTACACTTAGCTATAAAAACTGTATGTATCTCAGTTTTAATTTTTACATGAACACCCTGATCTACTTTATATACAACACCAATATCTGTTTTTTTTATGAAAGCACTGATCAACACTACATACTAAATATATAACACCAAAATCTTTAAATATTTATTAAAAATATAACAGGACTAAACTACGTAGTTTTCAACAAACCAGGAAGACGCAGGTATCAGTGGCCCAATTTTTCCTTATTTTTTTCACAAAGCGCACAGCTCTTTTCAAATAACGCCTTGTTTTTTATTTACTTGCCCCCATTCTTAAGACCATACTATTGCCTTAAGTAAGTAGACTATATCGTAATTGAACAAGAATGTTGTGTATCCTTGGTAAGGCTAATCAATAATGAGAACTATTGCTGGCGGATTGTGAATTGTGCATGGAGGTGGGGCGGGGGGGGGGGAGGGAGGAGGAAAGCATGTCAAGATTTTTTTCTCCAATTTAATGCTTCACGAAGCAAACGCTCAGTGTGCCAGCTTTCCCTACACACACACACACACACACACACACACACACACACACATATCAAGACCATGCATAATGTTGTCTGTACATTGAAAATCTGGTACAGAAATTTTTAGCAAATGTGACAAATTTGAAATCAAAGTTATTCTTCTTCATAAAGACAGAAAAAAGGGCAGCCCAAGCTATAACTCACTCAAATTCCATCTGTTTTTGAGAGTGTTTCACTTATACATATTATTCAGCCAAATTTGAAAGATAATTAAAAATATCTGCTCTAATGACAGAAGGCAGTCGATGCATGCTCGCCCAGGGGCTGCACCAACTGAAGATTAAAGAACAGAGGTAAATGAAGAAAGAAAAGAAGTACTGTTGAACAAAATTTATATGAGTAACCATAAATTTACGAAAAAAAAACCCCGCCTATATTTAAATCTCATACCAGAGCTTCCATTTGAAACTCAGAAATCACTGTGTCAACCTTTAAAATTATCACAAAGACTTCTTCAGGTGGACAGAAATGGGCTGTCAAAGAGGCCACCGATGTCACCGACTGTGACGATTAATGACTTTGCTTTCTAAAATTTTTGATACTACACTCCCCTTACCCCCAACCAAGCACATAACTGCATTCGAGCTCATTCTCTAATGGAAACGGCACATCTCAACTGGGGGCATGCCCTCTTGGGGGCAACTGATATACTAGGTAGACTTCATTTCTGTTTAGGAGGAGGGGTGAAAGAGAGATGATGTCCACCCCCCAACCCTACCCCACCAAAAAAATAAATAAATAAATAATAATAATAATAAAAATAATAAGTAGTAGTATTAAACAAATGATGTGAAAACATCAGCAAACTCAGCAGCTTTGTTCTATCTGGAATCCAAAACCAGTTTATTTTGGATCCTAGCTCTTAGTAAAGCAACAACTTTGTACTTCCTCCGTATTTTTTTAACTTTGAGTTTTTTAACTTAAAAACTTCCTGGATATATTTACCCAGTAAACAACAGTGAATCCGATCCTTTCTGGGGAAATAGGCCATTTTTTTTTACAAAAGCAATTTATTTTGTAAATAAAAAAGTATACACAAGCCACCTGACCAAAGGTACAATATTGCAAATCACTACTAATTTTACAAAAATTCAGTTGTTTTATCATTTTTTTCACAGGCTTTAACTTTTGGATCTAATTTTTCTAATTAAAAATAATGTTGATTTCTCATTTCATATCAATCTATATTAGCTTCTGACAAATCATATTGAAGGCCAGCCTCTTAATTTTATACCTTTAATAATAATAATAATAATAATAATAATAATAATAATAATAATCCTTATTATGTACCATTACATAAGATGATATACAAATGTCAATAATAAGTATAACAGATCAGTTTTAAGTGAAAAGTTATTACTATTATAATCATGATCATTATCATAATCATTAATATTTTTAATAAAGGCACTCTCAATGCACACGACACCTATGTGTACTGGTACCGCTCAATGCTCAATGTTAAAAAGGCCTTCATGACTTATATTTTGACTTCTTAAACCTTTAAGAAAATATATCATTCAACATTTCCCATAACTATGTACATACTGCAGCGCCTGAGACTGCCTGAGCAAATATAGCAATTGTTATCACTGGCAAACAAAGGCGAAGTTCCTGGTTCGACATCATCTCTTTGTTGATAAATCTCTAAAATCTAATCCAATCTGACATTTTGGATTTGCCTTAATTTAAATGCCATTACCTTTTCACCTATACATCTATCTGCAACTTAAAATTATTATCTCTAAAATGAACAGGACTTAATTATTTTGAGAACTTTATTTTGGGAGATAAAATTAATTTTTTTTTTCAAATTTTATCAGAATTTATGAGATAAATGTGAGCTGAGAGATTACTGTCAGCAGACTGTTAGAGTCTTAGAAAAATGTCATGCCAACATCTTGGCTAAAGGCGATAATATTTACTGATTTGGTGTTGAATTTGTTATTTTGGCTACAACACTTTGCCAAGTTACTGATGCCTTTATAACAAAATGACCAACACACATTCTCTCTCTCTCTCTCTCCCTTTCTCTCTCTCAAATATTTATATCAGTGAACACACTTTTAAGTCCTTCAAATACATAATCTGATAAGCTTGCATGAAAACAAGTGCTTGTTTTTCTTCCTTTGTCCAATATTTAGTCATTTGTTATAAGGTATGTCCTAAATCTGTCAGCTAGCTGATTAAATATAGAATGGGCTCTTAACACAGGTATGTGATAGGTAAATTTTAAAAGAAAGCTGACTGCATGCATTAAATTTAACTCAATTCAGGGCCCTGTATCTCGAAAGCATGGCATATGGCGAATAGCGATATCACACAGAGGCTACAGTGTAATATATGGGGCGAGTATGGGCGAGTTATGGAATCAAGACATTTGCACTTGGTCACAATGTGTGATGCTTTCGAGATACGGGGCCCTGGTCTTAAATGCCATCATCAAGTATCTTAATAAACCTAGGCATACGATGAATGTGCTGTGTACCCATTAGATTAATTGTAATCAACACAGTTAAAAAAACAATAAATGTTAAAAGCTTCTAATGTAAACATTTTAATCTTTATTCGCAGATAAACATGTTCATGGACATCACACACTTTCTCTTGATAAGGGCAGTGTAAACGTCGCCATTGCTACTACATACTGGACTGGCAGGCAGGTGAAAGACCAACCTTATAATAAATATGGGTCATTTCAGATAAAGTTCTCCCAACTCTTTGCTACCTGTTTAATTTTTAACTTAGTGTTTTAAGTATTCTTAACAAGTAATAACCAGTTCCTTGACACTTTAAATGAAATGCTTTCTGATATACATATGTACAAGTCATCCCACTCTCTAATTCCCCCCCCCCTCGCCCCCTATGTGAATATATATCTTTTCATTTTTTCCATATAGATTGCTCAACCTTTACTTAATTATGCTGAACTGCAAGTGTGCTCATACCATGAGATTGTATCAAAATTTCTACAAGCCCCATGTTACCCTTGCCTGGGTATCAGACACATGTACAACACTGCAACAAATGATTAGTCAGAAACAGTAAGAAAAAAATCCTCCTTCCCCCCCCCCCCCAAAAAAAAAAAAAAAAAAAAAAAAAAAAAAAAAAAAAAAAAAAAAAACAGAAATCCCCATTTCTATTTTATAAATTCCGTTTCATTTCATTATTATCTTTCCTAATCTTTTTTTACATTTAATCCAAAATCCAGCAACCATACAGTTGAAGATTTTTGACACAAAAAGAAGCGCAAATACAACTCACAATTAAGCCTTTCACGGAACAAAAAGGAAGAAAGAAAGGAAGAAAAGCCAAAAATCTATATATTTAATTTCAAGATAAACCAACTTCAGTTCATATCGGAGTGAAACATTTGCTATGATATCTTCCTTGTTATAACAAAGGTGTAGTATTACTGCCATTAACTTACTCTGGGTCACAGTTTACTCAAATCCTGGTCTGAAAGTTTAGAAAAAAATTTCCAGACTTGAGTTCTTTTGCAAAGCAGTCAGTTCATTAAAATGCCTCTGTGTCTCCAAAGTTTATTACCTCCATCTCGGAGGTTACACCGTAAGCTTTCACTTACCAAGGCCATAGATTGAGTTTCAACTTTCACTGGATATTTATGAACAGATATGTCCTTGGTTAAAATGGCGACTTTTCTCTGTATGATAAGGTTTATTTGGGTTCAAAGCTGAGTGATTTTGGAAGTAGTTATATCAGTTACTAGCCTCAGAAAAAATGTTCACATAATAATAACTGTGGCCCTGGTAGAGGGTAATTTTCACCCAATTTTGTCTGCTTGAATGGATTTTGATCAAATTTTCAGGATCAATGGGCAAATTTAAAGGTGATAAGGTGATGATCCATTCATTCACTAATTACTCATTAATTTATTTATGGTTAATTATTAGTTAATCATATCTTGTCGGAGGCCTGTGCTCTATGAGTGGTTTCGTAATTTTAATTAAAATGATATACAATGGTTTAAATGGACAGATTCTTTTTTGGAATAGTTATTCAGTGTTAGGCCATATTCTCAACCTTAGCTAATTAATTGATCTGCAGACTAACAGATCCACAGATCAAATATGGCTGACCCACTTGAAAGCTTGCTGCATAATCCCCTCAGAGAATCTATTCATTGTCTTTTAGGGATTATGCGGCAAACTTTCAAGTTGATTGGCCGTATTTGATTTGGGAATCTGTTAGTCTGCATATCAGCTTGTTTCGAAAGTGACCTTAACCCCTGTCTATTCTGTTTATTACTGATCAGAAACTACGATTTAAGTGGAAAGGTTAAGGTGTGATGAATGTGTTGGGTTAATCAACAATTATAGATAAGATACAATGCTTTCAGTTTAAATGTCAAAGGACAACAGAGTATAATGGCCAGTTTGGTGGACCACAATTACATGTATATTGAACTTTTGACTTTGTTAAATTGCTACTGTATAGTTATGACACCTTCAATATACACTCATGCATCCACACAAGATTTTTATACTGCATATATGCACACAAAGACACTGTACAAAAGCACCTCCAGGCCTTTTTAAAGAAATAGCTGGACGTTCTTGATCTCAAGGCTCGGTTTTGTGTACGCAAAATTAATGATGATTTAATGGCTCAAACTGCAATATCATGGCACAAACATAAAATTAGTGGCAATGCAAATCACAAAACCTTAATAAGCTTTCCTACCTGTTTGGTACATTAGGTATGTGGTTCATCGAAAGACTGTCAGAATTTTTCAAGTTTACATAGAAGGGCCTCTTATTTTTTATGTCAGAAGATGGTCAAAATGGAGGATGAATCAACAAAGATAACTTGAAAGACTGTCAGAAAATAATTCTGGATCCACCCCTGCTCCTTTACTGAAAATAATTCAGGTTGAGAAGAGAGCCCAAATGTAAACAGCTAGAGACCCAGATGAAAGCTAGCCAAATTGTCCACGCTCTTTTATGTGTGATATTCATATCACTAATTTTGTGTTTGCGCCATAGTATTACTTATTGAGTCGTTAATTTGCCATGTGCAATCATAAAACCAAGACTGGAGATGGCAGAAGGAAACAATTGTTAATGATGCCTGAGCTCATGTTATTACGACACTACAAGTGCATGTCCCCCCCTGCACACACACACACACACACACACACACACACACACACACACATCCAGTGATAGACTATTTTAGCAACATGCTGGCAAATTAATGCAGTGCTTAACAAGGTAAATACCAAATTTTATATCCTGCCCGAAGTGTCAATCATTAGAGCCCATAATGTCTTAATTCAACTAGTTCTACTTCATTATACCACTGACTTCGAGAAATAAACCAAAAAGAATGGTACGTACATGTACACATAAACCAACAGCTTTCCGTCAAGCCCTAGAAATTTTTTATAATTATGATGAGTATTAGTTTTATGATTCATATAACCCTAACACACATTCCTGATTACACAATATTGTTTTTGTCTCCATATTTGTGTGGGAGGAAGTTGGAGAGGATTGTCTAAGTATTCTTGGAAGCCGGCATAGGTAAAATTCCCTCTGGTCAATACAAGGGCAGATCCAGGATTATTTGAAGGGGGGTCTGCAAATACGAAACTGCCCCCCCCCCTCCCCACTTGGCTTGGGATCTGGGGCCCGCTGAAGGTCCCCGAAAATTTTTGGTATTTAAGAGGGCAAACGGTGCCATTTGGTACGGTTTAGAACTATGATTCAACTAGTCAGAATTCTAATTTCAAGAGGGGACCAGAAATGAAAGGGGGGGGCAGGACCCCCCTGACCCCCCCCCCCCATAAACCCACCACTGCCAATAGCAATGTACCCAACTATTTCAAAACTAATTTAGCTTAGTTAGCTTAAATAAATTAAATATTTATATGAAGTCTTTCTAACACAAAATTATGAAAAAAAGAGATTAAAATGGCTGGTAAGTGCTAGCAATTTTTTGGCTTAGCTAACTCACTACTTTTTCACATACTTCACTTTTTTTCTCCAAGTAGTTTAAATAAGACTTAAACAAGTCAAATCAACCCAATTTTAATTAGCCAATTTAAGTTGGTTTTAGCACTTGGCTATATTGGCAAATGTTAGCACAAATCATATTTTGCTGCTATTGTACACAAAGTGTGTGAGATGACAATTACTTTATTTATTTCCCCCCTTCCAATTATATGCACTCCACCTTTCTTCATAAATCATAATACATTTTCATACATACTATTCTTCATTGACATAAAGCAATATGAAAATATCAATGTAATTAACCCTAAATAAATACTTGAGTTCAGACAGTTATGGAATGAATCCTTTTACAAACATTAAATGCACTCAGTTGTACTCCAGGGTGTTAAATTATCAATATATTAATAGTAATTATCAGTGACTGCTTATAATTAACACTTTGTTAAGTTGACATCTCTCACATAGCTGTGTTAAAAGGTGATATCTTTGATCATGCCGACTCCGTTTAAGCTGACATTTGCTGTATGGCCAAAAAAAAAAACATCATTTTTTTTTTTTGATAAATTGGTTATGGGTACAATCAACAATTTTGAGGACATCAATGGAGAAAAACATACACTTGACCTATCTGAAATAACATCCATGCTACTGTTTTTAATATCACCTTAAATTACTTGTCATTTCTCACCCTCCCCCCCCCCCCAAAAAAAAAAAAAAAAAAAAAATTGGCCTAATTCATAATTACTCTCAAATAGAAAGTCTGGCTGTCAGATGGGATTGTGTTACACTCTCTCTCTCTTTCTCTCTGACACACACACACACACTCACATACACACATATACACAGACGTCTCTCACACATGCACATACATGCACACACACATACATACATGCATAAACACGCACATGTACACACATACATGCACACACATATACAAAAACACTCACACACATACAGTTTTGATGCAAAACAAATGCACACTGTTTTATATTTCATACACACAGAATATGACACGAGTTCCAAATATTAAAATGTTTCTGATGATCAATAAATATTCAAAATCAGTTTTTGTATTGTTACATCATTACATTCATTTCTTTCTTACTTTTCTTTATCTTTTCAATTTTTCTATTTCATTTCTGTTTTTATTCATTCGAATTCATTTAATCACTTATTTATTTAATTATTTATTTATCTATTTATTTACTCAGATGCATTAATCATATCAGTACTAGGACATAAATGTATATAAACACTTTATAATAAGAACATTGTGTCAGCCTAAGGGTAACCTAAATACCTTAGCACTCCAGTTTACAGTTACTTTTGAAATGCAAATGTGGGGTAATAAGTATGGATACAGTGGGCTTGCTACGCTTTAGTAAATCGATATCAAACAGAAGGATTAGAATGCCAATTAAAACGCCGTATTACAGTAAATTCCCACAAAGTAATTAACCCTCGGACAGTAGCTGCAGTAATCTCGTTAAACATCACACTTAATCTTGACCAATTATCTTGACACTTGCATCAGATGTGCCACCATTAACACTTACACGCTGTAGCGGCTATAATAACTTTTTAAACTTACCGCAAATAAAATCACTGAGGAAACGTTCAGAAACATCGTTTTCTGTCCAAATTCAGCCATCGTGTTGATCTTAAAACGCACAGATCGACCTCTAGGGCTGTCAAATGTCGTAGCGGTCACATATAAGGATTCTTTCAGCGCTACATCTCGACCAAAATTTTGGAAAACCCAACCCGGAAGCTTGTTATTCCCTCGTCGAACTTTACCACGACAGGGAACTGATTTGCATCTGATTGGCTGAAAGTTGGAAAATAGGTCACACGCTGGGGTCACGAGGCCGGAATGTCACTCCTTTTATCAGCCTGTTTTTATTTGTCATAATGCCAGTGAAATAAGGAAGTTCCCAATTTGGCATTCCCTTTTGTTCTTTTTGAAAATATTGTCTGATGGTTTTTAAAATATATGAAGGCTTAACAGGATACGGGGATTTTATTATCTGATACCCTCCTATTTTTTAAAAAAAAATTAGGAAAACTTCGATTCCCTGTAACGCGACTTAAACTAAAAAAAGGATTCATTTCTATGTTTCTTTTTTTAATGAGGTTGTTTGTCCGTTTAAAAAGAAGAAAGGCATATAGCTTCATGTACATTTAGGCTCTAGATTTACAGATAACATTTTAGAACAATACTTTTACTGTTTAATTTTACTGTTTTACTTTTACTTTTACTGTTTAATTGTGTTAAGTGAAAATGTATAAGGAAATACTTTGAACGTCTTTCACACGACTTAAACTAAAACAAAAAAGTATACATAAGACTGTTTATTTTTAGTCTTTTCAAAACAATTCTAAATGAGATTGTGTGTCCGTTTAAAAAGAAGAAAAGCATAGCTACATAAACATTTACACGCAACATCTCAGAGCGATATTTTTACTTCATTTCAGAGGAACAGGATTTTATCTTAAACGGAAAGGGGTCAAATTTGCGGTCTAAAAAATTGGGCTGGGGTTTATCTGTGAAACGGACCCTTGATGGTCATATTTTTAAATTGCTGTTTTCAGACCAGACACGCCAGGCTTGTGGTAGCTTGTGAAGGATTGTGGTAGTTGAGAAAGGTAATTAGAGCACATCTGTAGCAATTTAACCAGCCACAACGCAGTCAAACACGTGTTGATGTTCGCAAGAGGAGGGTGTGTGGTTATGAGAGAAATTATTACAGTAAAATTCCCGTCTTCTATTGTTTATTATTATTATTATTATTATTATTATTATTATTATTATTATATTTTCTTTTAAATATTTGTACTACTCCCCTTGGCAAATCCTGGGTCCAACATTAATGTTAAATGCCCCAGATTAGTGTCTTTTCAAGGACACGATCGATATTGGCTATAAGGTTGCTATAAGGTTGAGATCGATTTAACAGACCTGATTGATCTGACAGCAAATATCACCAATATCTCACAAACACAGGACACTTTGCTTTAGTTTTCAATGTTCATTTTTCCCCTCCGTAATAACACCTCTCGCAATACATATGCAGACAAATGTATTTGGTGCCGTACATGTAGATTCTGATCAAGCACCTTTGAATATCTGAGGTTGCATATATTTTTGAAATATTTTATTTATCATTTTCCACTCTCTCTTGCTCACACAAACTCACTCACTCTCTCTCTCTCTCTCTCTCTCTCTCTCTCTCTCTCTCTCTCTCTCTCTCTCTCTCTCTCTCTCTCTCTTCCATGAATTTCACCTCGTCACCGAATCAGTTTATTATGGTACAGGTGCACCATGGATACGGGGCATACCCTTACAATGAAGCCAGATATATCAACATACCACATAAAACAGATCTTAAAACTGATCAATTTTTCCATATCCGTTTTCAATACTTTCATCAATTCATCAATGACCCTAGATCACTCTCAGATTGGGCCAATAACTGGCGAAATAAGCCTAGCTAATTACTTTGACACTGCCTTTATTATGTGGCGTTGGATCGCCAGCTTTTAAAAGCAGGGAAACACTTAGAAGTCGTCCCTCGTGCGTCATTTCGAGGTACCTGATCTCTTTAACACACAATAGCGTCTCTGGGTGCTCACACTGATGTGTTTGTTAATCATTGACCATTAAGTCCGTTTCATTGGGCAGCCACAATGGAAGGGAAAACACGCTGACATCCGTGGAGAGAATAACCGGTCTTTTATTTCGTATTGATTATTTGTCGACGCGCGATGCTGCTTTGTTTGCTCTATGAGAATTGTCATCGTTCAGCGACACGGGTAGGCTAAATGGCGTAAGGTGCGCGTTTCCAGTGAATCTGGCAAAAAAAAGATAAATAGCGAGTTGTGCTTCTGTTCATGTTTTGTTCCACTCTCCTTTTTGCGCGTGTGTACACTGATTTGTGCGCGTGTGTAGGCCTATTTTTTCATGGTTAATCGGCTAGAAAACTTTGCATTTTATCATCATAGATAGATAAAAATACATAAATAAAATGAAAAAATGATGTGAATCATAGAAAGATAAGACCGTGTAACAGACAGTTTAACAGCGCTTTATCCAGTTTTACCAAAAGAAACATACTGTCACGATGGAAGCGACACCTATCATCCTAGGCCCGCAATCAGGATGTCGTAATTCTGTCTCCGCTTCGATCAATAGAATTTTTTTCTCGCCTCATCTGATCATGATGAAATGCGAATCTAACAGTTATTGCACGTAAGAGGCATCACAGTCAATACACAATCTTCAGTGACATTTTTACACCGGTCGATTTTTCGTACAATAATGTTGTCTGGGTGAGTTGGCATTGCCTATGCATCATCTTAAGTAGTGTCATTATTGCCGTATCTTTCGAAGACAAACGTAAGGCAGAAGTTTGCGTCAGTCTTTCGATTTCGGATGTAGGCCTTATTAAAAAAAAAAACAACATTATTCGTGTATACAGTATAAGCATTAAAAGCTCTATATCCAAAATGTCCATTCTAATATGCCAAATTTAATTTATTTCATTTGTTTTTTTACCACTATGTTCTTCTTATTCTGACGCCTTACAATCGCCCAAAGTGCGGGAGAACTAGGCTCGGAGTTTCAACTTGATCGCCATGTAAACAGTAATATTTGCCCTCCACTGCTTGATAGTAAAACTTAACGCGCTCTAAAATGAAAGCCCCGGCTTTATCGCGTTTGCTTTTCAGTTAGAACATGAATTGTGCGTTTTTTATGGAGGGTAAAAGGGATTTAATGTTTGCGATATGGTAATTCTACAACTTATTGACAAATTCAATTTTTGTCCATGAAAGCCTCGAGGCGTTTAATCGCGTTAGGGGTTTACTTAAAGGATTTAATTACATGTTTTGAATCGTTCAATGCAGTAAGGTCAAAATTGTTGTTTCGAGGTAAATAATCACCCAAGGATTCTGCTTTTTTTCATTTTCTCAATGATGACCGAAGTTTGCCATGAAAATGGTTAAAATGCCAACATACACGTTTGACAAAATTTGTTTCTGGAGGCAAGAAATTTACGTCAGTTTGGTTTATTTTATATTTTGCAAATAAAAAAAGATAAAGTACAATGTAAATAATTAATAAGATTATTGTATTAATTAAAAACAATAGTCCTTGCCTCCAATATCAGTGATATTGGCACAGCTTCCTCGTATTATAAGGAATATGAGTAAAATATTTTGTATTAGGACCAGTGTAGTCCTACTTCAATAATACAACCTTCCAACATGGTTATGATCAACTGTGTGTGTATGCATTGGGTCCAATTAAAGGTATTACAATCTTTATAAAATGTCTTACGCATTCGAGAAAAAAAAAGAAAAAAAAAACAGCCATTGAAAATGAAAACGTAAACCCACTGCAATACTTAGCCCATGTATTTCATCTTACAGCCCTTCTGGTGATACGTGAAGATACAGCGAGAGGGTAAAACATTTATACTTGCAAACCGCGAATATGGATAATGAAAATACCTGCAAGGCCTTGAAAAATTGGCCTTTGTGTTTCAAACATATAAATCCAATGTTTGGCCAACATCATGATTACCATGGGCCCGGGCATATGAGTAACGAAACTGTTCACATGCCAATGGGAAGTTTGTATTGAGTTTTAGAGTAAACATACATGTTTGGGCAACGTCACCGTGAAAGGCGGGCCATCGGCCATGAATAAGAGAAATCCGTAATTGTCATTGGTAAAAATGTGTATCGAGTCAATATCTGGCCTCTGTGCGTTCTATTGAGGCAACACGGGTAGGCAATTAGCGACCGCGCGGTAAATAAACCTCACTGTGTACGAATGCCCGTTCGTCACGGCCAACCAGCCGTCTAGCATTGAGGCTAACGACCGCATTCTGGCCGTGCAGGTAAGTACATGTGTTGTGTTGTGTTTTCTGTATTTTATGATATTAAGACAGTTACGAGGTAGGTTAGTCGATGCTCGAGGCGGAGACGTGCTACAGACGATTCTCTTAGTGCGGATGGTGCCGGCGTTTCAGGCAAAATAGGTTGTGGTTTTACTTCTTTTTGACTGCGAAGGACCTGGGTTGATTATTCAATGTTACGGTTTCAGCTGTGAATTCAACTGTCCTAGGCAGGGGTGAGATTATACATTTTATGGCCCAATTCTTCTGATTTATCTAAATTTATAAAACTTGGGTTTGTTTGTTTAATTCATCAAGTAGTGAAATAGTTTATTTGGTTGGCAGAGCATGCCGCACATGAGCAATACAGCTGATCGGAAGAAAACCATCAATAATGGACGACGAAAATTCAATTCTCATTAGTTCACCAAATATATAAATATCAGCAATTACGGCGTGCTAATAGCTTTATATGAAAATAGTAAGAGGTGACTTGGCCTTATTTCAGCCACTTCGCCAGCGGTTTGTGACCACTGAAGCGGTCATATTGGTCAGCAGTGATTTGGTAACTAGGGACTGGCCACATTAAGGCATTAGGGGTCAGTCACTGAGCGTTTTGTCCAGTTTCATGACACGGAGTGCCCGTCCCTTAATTTGTAGTTCGTTGGTTTTCAAGCTGAGAGGAGAACTAAGAAAATGTACCCTTTTTTCAACTTTCGAAATCGCAAGTTTAGTGGAATGGAAGTTTTAAGGGTTTATTTATTTATTTATTTATTTATTTATTTATTTATTTATCATCGTTATCATTTTATTTCAATTATTTTATCGTGGAAAACACAACGGAATTCCCTGGGTTACAGATCCTCCTTTTAGTTACACAGCTCCGAGCCTGATTAG